ATAAATCAAAAGAACCAAAAACACCGAATTCTTTTTTTGAAAAATTCAACTGTTACATCTCTTAACCTTTTTCTTTATTGCTTAATACGATAGCTACTAAATGCATCTTGCTATCAACGTGGAAAAAATAAAGTTGTCCCAAGTTTCGAAGCAGGAGTCAATTAACTAGCTTCCAATTGCCGCCCCAACCCCCTCTAAGTCAATTTACTGTAACGTCAATAGTGTTCGACAAATTGATAAACTCATTGAAGTTCATTATCCCAAAATCTCAGCTTGGTTTTAGACAAAAAAAAATCATTAGTCACAAATCTAATTGAACATCTGGATGAGGTATACACTGACTTCGATAACATCGAAAAAAATATGCCTGGCTTGTCTCTATTTAGATTTGGGTGTTTTGGCTTTTCAGGCCCATCCTTGAAACTATTAGAATATTACCTTCGTAATATTTAACAAACCGATCGAATCGGACGAGCAACCTCTGATGCTTTGGCCATATACTTTGATGTACCTAATAGGTCGGATCTCGGACCTTTGATGTTTATCCTTTATATAAATGACTTTTACTGAGTTCTCAATGACAGAAAGCTTTGATTATGCTGATGATTACAAAAAAGGTATCGGATAACCCTGTAACAACAAAAATTGACGCAAAATGAATTTGAAATTGGTGCACTTTGGCTAAGTAAGTAATTATTTTGTAAATTAAAATACTTGGTATCGAAGGTAGTTTGAATGTGGAAGTCAATACTGCAATAATCGAGGAAGTAAACAAAATGAAAACCCTCGGATTTATAGTCACTAATATGTTGAATCGGACAGAAAATTCAAAAACAAAATCAGTCTAAGCTCTAAAGGGATAACTTCGTTAACAAGTATGTGAGATATAATTCAGCTCTGTGGAAACCATCAGAAAACAATCTTGAAATGATCGAAAGTGTGCACAGGAAAGAAACAACAAGGATTACACGCACACAGCATTGACATCAGGAGTGAATGATTCAACTTAAAACCCCACTGCTGTCCCTTAATCATGAACTACGCTTTCCACTTCCACCGCTTAAAATTTTCAATAGCGAAACAGACCTGCAGTGGGAAAAAAATATATTTTATTCGAAGAGAAAGTAGTAGTAGTAGTAGTTGAGGCTTCTGGGAAGTCACGCTTGCCAAGGGTTCATGAGTCCCGTCATTTACATGTTTTCATCAAGTTAAGTTTGAGCTTCGAGTTTTTTCCAGTTGTTACAGTGAATGCATCTGCAGATAATTCTCCAAGTGCATCTGTTTAGTGATTGAATTTTCTGACAAAGTAATCCCAATAAAGTTTGCTTATTGATTTTTTGTCAAGTTGGTTCCCATATTCTTCGTAGTGTTTGATGACGATGTTGTGAAAGAGTTTCGTTCTGTGGAAAAAGTTTTCGCCTGAATTGTTCGGTCTGTTTTTGTTGACTGCATGTTCTCCTCTGCTGTGTTGGCGAGTTTTTCTTTCTTAGAAGATTCAACAGCAATTGATATGTCATATTTGGAATTTACTAAGGATAAATACATGAGAAGATCGTGCATTTCAACGTAGAGGCATAATGGCAGTAGTTTAAGCATAAAGAACAAACAAGACATTCGAGCTTGAAGAAATATGAAAACACAAAATTCCGACTAGAAAAATCTGAATCGGATTTTTTCCAACGCCTCTTCCATGGATTTTTCTTAAAATCGTTTTTATTATTATGTTTAACAATAAAAATTACGTTAAACATAACGAAAATTAACGAACGTTCAAGTGGTTTTCACCACAAGAAAACTACAATCATGTTTGCCATCACTGAAGTCAGCATTTTCTAATGACCTCAAGTCAAGAGTGGTTTATAAACTGTCATGTAGTGGATGCACTTCCACCTATGTCGGACAAACTGTTCGACATTTGACCACTAGAATTGAGGAACATAAGAAAGCAGACTCACCGGTAGGCCTCCACCTTAAGCAATGCCAACTTGAGGGAAATAGCGCAGATCTTAGTTGGGAAATTATAGATAGGTCAAACAACCAAACAAAATTGCTAACACTAGAGGCAATACATATCAGGAAAGAGAAACCGGGCTTGAACACGCGCGATGAGTTTAGGAGCAGGGAGTTAACACTGAAAATTTAGTCCCAAAATATTTTTGGTTTTTTATTCAAAACGTACATGTCTAAATCGAAATTATGACTCAGAAACTTCCAGACAAATTAATTTTAAAATGTTTAATTAATTTTAGAGGTTAAAAGTATTTTAATCTTAATAGTAATTTAGAGGTCAACTGTGATTGGCTAATTTTTTATCATGATGGTTTAGAACCAAATTGTATGTGATTTATTGTAAATAACATTTGTAAATTGATGTTTTATCGTCATTTAGAGTAGTTTATTGTAAAAATCCTGACGATGCACATAGTTGCGAAAACGTTTGAAATTTACTTTTTAGCAAAAATTTCTTCATTATTATTATTATTATTATTATTAAATTATTATTATTTTGTTATTACTAATAAATTATTAAATAATTATTTAATTATTGTTAAATTAGTATTAAATTATTATTTTTATTTAAAATACTTGGTCCTTTGATACCAAGTATTTTAATTTACTGTAACCTCGGTTACTATGATACTTTTGACCTTCTGATTACCTTAAAGAAGAGAAAAAAAAATTAGAGAAACTTATGGCTGAAAGAATACGAATTTGCTCTACGACAACAAATACCGGTGGGAACGGGGGTACAGCAAATTAATGACAAAAACGGCTTGTGCCCAGGTTGCAACAGGAAAGTCACATATAGATCAAAGGGGGTTGAATGCGAGAGTTGCCGAAACTGGTATCATCTAAAATGCGGAAAAATATCCGATGACGTATACACATCAATAACCGAGATAGTCTGGTACTGTGAAAGCTGCTGCCGAGCTAAGAACAAGGAGAAGGATACTCCCCAGGTGAAATTGTTCCTCAGGTATGTGGATGACATTGTTAGAACAGTCAGAGGGGAGCCGAGTTGTCTTCTCGATGCCGCCAATTCTCTTCATCCAAATTTGCAGTTCACTCTAGAGAAAACTAATTCGGAGGGGAATTTGCCGTTCCTGGATTTGAACATAAATGTATCGCAGGATAGGCGTGTAACTTGCAGTTGGTATCAAAAACCAACAGATACAGGGACTATACTGAACTATAGAAGCTGCGCCCCAACTCAGTATAAGCGTAGTGTTATCCAAGGCACTGTACACAGGGTTTTTAGGAGTACATCTAGCTGGGAGCAATTTGATAAGGCTATGGAAACTAATAGGGCGCAATGGCTGACAAATCAGTACCCTGAAAATTGGTCCGCAAAGGTGGCTTCAGACGCCTTGTGCAAGATCATCGAGGATAAAGGCAAGCCCCTGGATAGTGACAGGGGTTTGTCAGTTCAATCACCAAAGGATGAGAAGCCCCCAATGCTGATGGTGCAATATAGAGGTAACCAGAGCCAATATTTTGCTAACAGGTTACGAAAATTAACGAACGTTCAAGTGGTTTTCACCACAAGAAAACTACAATCATGTTTACCATCACTGAAGTCAGCATTTTCTAATGACCTCAAGTCAAGAGTGGTTTATAAACTGTCATGTAGTGGATGCACTTCCACCTATGTCGGACAAACTGGTCGACATTTGACCACTAGAATTGAGGAACATAAGAAAGCAGACTCACCGGTAGGCCTCCACCTTAAGCAATGCCAACTTGAGGGAAATAGCGCAGATCTTAGTTGGGAAATTATAGATAGGTCAAACAACCAAACAAAATTGCTAACACTAGAGGCAATACATATCAGGAAAGAGAAACCGGGCTTGAACACGCGCGATGAGTTTAGGAGCAGGGAGTTAACACTGAAAATTTAGTCCCAAAATATTTTTGGTTTTTTATTCAAAACGTACATGTCTAAATCGAAATTATGACTCAGAAACTTCCAGACAAATTAATTTTAAAATGTTTAATTAATTTTAGAGGTTAAAAGTATTTTAATCTTAATAGTAATTTAGAGGTCAACTGTGATTGGCTAATTTTTTATCATGATGGTTTAGAACCAAATTGTATGTGATTTATTGTAAATAACATTTGTAAATTGATGTTTTATCGTCATTTAGAGTAGTTTATTGTAAAAATCCTGACGATGCACATAGTTGCGAAAACGTTTGAAATTTACTTTTTAGCAAAAATTTCTTCAAAAAAAATTATTTTTTTATTATTACGTTTTTACCCTGGATATAAATTATAACGACTGTTTGAAATATGACTTTGAAATATGACATCATGAACTGCGAAAACATCGAAGACTACTTACGAGTTTATACTGCAGAATTTTCCAAGACAAATTACATGGAGGAAATCCGTTTTCATGGAAGATGGAATGCAATTGAACAAACTGTATAAACCTTAGAAAACTAAATTTTTGATTTGATCTAAAACTTGATAGGGAGTCACTTCCCCTGGATATTTCTTATAATCGTTTTTATTATTACTCTGATTATGTTTTTGATACTACTATGATAGATTGGTCCCTTCAAAATAACCAGGCTACTTGAGAATAAGATGCCTAGAGCTCTCTAATTGTTAATTATTTATCAGTTCGCCATTCACAAAGATGGTGAACTCATACCGGCTTAAGGTGATTAGTGTATATCTAGCCAGTCAATATTATTATCAGACCCGATTTTTGATCATGGTGCTGTCTCTGTCCCATCAGATGGAGTTGGCAGCACCAGCCATTGTCGAACTGCAGCTCTCTATGACTGCAGCTTTGCAGTCCCACGTTAACTTTTGCTATCCTGATTTTTAACATTCCCATTTTTTAGAGCGGCGCAGTTTGTAAAATTTTCGGAAATTTTTTGAAATCCTGTTTTTGAATTTTTTTTTGGCATTTGGTCATTGTGAAAAACGTTAAAAAAAAAAGAAACGTATAGTTTTTATATGTTGCGAGCTATATGTATTTTTTCAGGTGGCATGCTGCCTTCAGAGGATGAAGACGGTGACACGGAATCTATAAATTTGCGCGAGAGATGTGCTCTTTGTCGTCTAAGTCGTGAATCTCTTCTAGGTCAAGGCCAACTTATTCAATGTCGTTCGCCGAATCATCACGTTATTAAAAAACCGCGAAGTAAACACGGAACAGAATCAATCAAATCAGATGGCTTGCTAGAAAAGTCAATCCTCCCAACTAATAACAACAAACCCCGCTGGAGCAACCATATCTCTGAATTTGACGATGGTTAGTATTATATCAAATATCACTATATAAATAAATAGTATTCTATCAATTATTCAATTGACGTTAAGTGCCTTGAAGAAATTCTTCACTAGCTTTTAACATTTCAAGAAGTTAGAATGATTTTGAGAAAAATTGGGTGTCGAATAAAAACATTTCAATCAATCGAGAAACCGGTCTCAATTAGGCTTTGTATGAACCACTCGTCATCAGTCATTTACGCCATCCAACTATTCTTATGAATGGATTTTCAACAAATTTAATAATAATATTATTTCAAAAACAATGAAATTGGACTGTAAAGCATGCTGCGATCGTGCAAAGTTTGAGCCGTTGTCCAATTTGAAGTGGAAATAGGATGTTTTTAAACCACTTTTTTTGATATATGGAAAATCATAATTAAGGGACTGCCAGTCTAGAGATTATCTAGTATGAAAATTATCAAATTGAAACAATCCTGCGATAATGCGTTTTTTCAAAGATCAGTAATATTCATCAGTATGTTTCAACAAATAATGTAGTGTAAAAGAACGAAGATTTTTAAAGGAAAATCTTAAAGCGTGATTTTTTTGCAGCTTGACTTTTTGAGACAGTTTTTTCTATATGGATTAATTTTAAGCAAAAATTTGTTAATCCTAAAAATTTCTTGAAATTCAAAGAGTTTTAACGTAATGTACTTTTTCTTCGGAATCTTTACAGTCGATTCAGGCTATGTGCAAGTAATCTTTCCAATGGATTCAGGGTGTGGGAAATTTCTCTCATACTTTATTCAAAAAAAACTTGAAAGTTTTTGAATATTTTCATTTGTCATTGGAATCTTTTTCTATTCAAAAGAAAGCTATGAATAGCGCCTTCTCGTATTTTTTTTGTTTTTGAAATTTTGACAACTACGGCGTAAAAAATGTTCCGATTTTCCTTGCCAAGTTTTATTCGCCTGATTTGAGTTTGTTTTATGATTCTCAAGGATGAGAAAGTGGCTTGATCTTCTTTTGTGTTATTATGAACTTTTTAAAGAGTAGTAATGACGTTTTGAAGGTAGTAATGAGTCTTAGGTCGTGATGATTTTTTCCAGGAAGTCTTAAAATGCTCGCTCTAATAACTAATGAAGTGCATTCATAAATATTATTGCATTTAAAATGCGCTAAGGTATTTATGCACTTTTTGAGATAAATTGAACTTCATCTGCTGAAAAGTAATCAAACTGCCATCTCCAATTAGCTGCAAGTCGAAAAACTTGATCGACTTCTAATTTCGAAAGTGTTTTTTGTTTCACTTTTCCCAGCAGAAAACATCTGTGTTATTGTTCCGACCGCTGAAAATGAGTAGGAAATAGGGCTTTCATGTGTTTGAGTTTTTAATTTATTTTGCTTCGCAAAGTGACGGGCCTTAAATAATCATCAGATTGGGTCGAGTGACGTATCATTTTTAAAAAATTGACTCATAATTGTTTGAAATTTTTGGTGTCTGATTGCGAAAAGTAGGCGTTTTACTAGGAAAAGTTTTAAGGAAAGTTAGCCCTTGAAACTTAATTTAGCGCTTCTTTGGAATTTTTTTCTATGGAAAAAATAATCTGCAAAAAATTTGTGAATTTTTTTGCTTGAATCATTTTTTGAAGCCATCTAAGCCTAATTTATAAACATAACAAGCTTTCTTCGTGTTCATCTCATCGCTTACTTTTTGTTCCAACCATTGAAAATGGGGAGGAACTTTGAGTTCGGATGTGTTAGTTTTTGTTCCGACCATTGAAAATGGGGAGGAACTTTGTATTCGGGTGTGTTTTAGTTTTTTTTCTTTGTTTTCCTCGCAAAATCAGGTACCTTAAATAATCATCATACTGGTTTGAGTGATATATCATATTAAAGCCCTTTTAGTCGTGATTCGCACCATCTAATAAATTCCAAATTCTTCCCAGTGTCGAGAAAAACCTGTTTGAAATGTTTGATTTTTTTGTCTTAATTCGAGCGAATAAAGCCAGCGAGCAGGCTTACAACAATTGATTAATGCATAATTTAAGACCCCAAAACCTAATTTTAACAATTTAAAACTATTTTTTGGGTTTTTTAGCTTCATTTTGGAAACGAAAAACTTGATTTTGAAAAAAAATTTAGCTTCATTTTGAAAAAAAAAAATTTCGTTCGTTTTGCCTCTTTTACTATGACTGTCTAATATGCCTAAAATATAATTTTATGTCAGATTATTTTATCACACCGAGCAGAAAAAACTACACTAATTTTTTAAAAAAACTTGCAAAACCGTAGTTTTCTAAAGACTATGGTCGGCACGTTCTGTGCTACTTGCACAGTAACCGGCTATCCTTCTTCTCTTTTTGTTTTTTTTTTGTTTTCCACGCAAAATCAGGTTCGACAAATAATCATCGGACTGGGTTGAGTGATATATCATATGGAAGCCCCTTTCAGTCGTGATTCAAACCACATGAAAAATTCCCAACATTTTCTAGTGCCGAGAAAAACTGGTTTGAAAATTTTGATTTTCGTTATTATTGCGATTGAATAAAGGCTAGCTAGCAGGCTTAAAATTGCCGGTTTGCGCTTGATTTAAGCCGCGAAAAATTAATTTTAGTCGAGTATAAGTATTTTCTGGATTTTTCTACCAAAACAAAAAAGATACTAGTTTGAAAAACCCTTTTTGTTTTTTTTAAGACTATGATCGGAAACTTCTGTGCTATTTGCACAGTAACCGGCTATCCTTGTTTTGAAATTTGCTTAGAGTTTTATGCTTCTCGAACTGCAACCCGTTACTCTTATTATTTGTCCTTGTTATGCTTTTCTGAGTACAACAGCGACAAATATGAAACAATAAGAATTTATTTAGAGGTAAAATTTCACAAGCTTATTTAGGAAAGCATTAAAATTTTTGATCTAAAAGTTTCACAATTGTGCAAAGTATGTTATATGGGCATCGAAGATTGTGTGGGTATGAAAAGTTTGATTAAAATATTCAAAACTTTATCAAAGTTGACCAAAGAGTTACTAACCTTTTTTGCCGCATTCATATTGCGTTGAGATTTCTGTATCCAGCTTGTGTACTGGGCGACATCTTACTGGAAGATTTTTTCTTTCAATTTAGTTTTTTTCTAATCGCAAGTGTTTTATTTTTGCATTATCAATTAGTATTAGTTTTGAAAAAAATTATGAAGACAAAAAATCATTAAAGATTAATTAGAATTAATATGATGTCGTTGGTTTTGTAAAATTTGAAACTGAAGAGGCTTAACATAAAATTGGGTTTTTTGGCACGGTTATTATTATTATTATTTAATAGGAAATATGATTGTTTAATAGGTTTTTGTTTAATGAAAACGTACCCAAGATTACTTATTTCAATAATAAAAGTGAATATTGTCAAGATGGCGCAAAAAAACGTTTAGCAGAATTAGCGTTTTAACTGTTGATCCAGTTTTCTCTAAGTGGGATTGTTTTACAACAAGAAGTGTCGCTCCATGAATATTCTTGAATTTCAAAGATCTTTAGCGTGATTTTATTCTCTTCAAAAATCGCTATCTTTTTTTTTGGTTTCTTTGAGCTCATTGACACTTTTCCAAACTTCTTTTGGTTTTGTTTAAGGTTTAATGGACGTAGTGAAGACATTTATATAGGTGGTGTTGATTTTTTGTTTTTTTTTTGAGAAAAAATTGAACCATATTTGATAATTCGCGGTTTAAATTCTGTGAAATCTTTTTAATTTCAATTCAAATTCATTTGCTAAAAACAAGTCAATCTACTCTCAAATTACCAGAGCGAAACTAGTGCAAAAAAATGGAACGAGTTCTAGTTTCGAAAGGGGATTTTATAATTTGAGGTTTACCAGCGGAATTATAAATTCATCTATTGATCCAGTTTTCTTAAATTGGGCTGATGCAATCAAAAAAGTATAAACTATAAACTGTTTTTGAAATTCAAAGAGGTTCAACGCCATCTCTTTTTTTTCTTTGAAGTTTTTAGGAAATAAATGGTAATTTTTTTCAGTTTCCTTGCGTTTATTGACACTTTCCCAAATGTCTGTTGGCTATGTTTTCAATTCTTCGATTTTTTGTTTTTTTTTTGTCATCAAATTTTTTGAAAAATTAGTCACCGCAAATGAACTGCAGATGGGATTAAGTGAAGCATCGTATCAAAGATTTCTCAGTAGTGATTGGCGTATATAAAAGTTTTAGAACATTTTATGAGTGTCGGCTATATGTATGCTGTACCGACTAACGCAAATCAGTTCTCTTATGGCCAAACCGCCGTAATTAATGGGAGTCCTTTTCAAGCTAGACAAAACCTATTATTTATTTGGTATTGTATTATTAATTCGCTATAGTTAAAGTCAACACCCGCACGAGAGTAGCCAATTGCCGTTCAAGAAGTACAGTATGTTCCTACCACAATGATTTGAGTTGTAGTGTCAAAATCAGAAACATGGTTTATTAATTTCCATTTGTTTGTCTTAGCAAAGAGCAGTTGAATTAGGTTAAAAAAATGTGAGAGTGAGAGTTTTTGTATTGCTAATTTAGAGTAAAAGTGCAGTTCAATTGCATTAAGGGTCATCAAATTTGAATGTGAGTTATGTGAGACTTATTTTTCTTGGCACTGCAACAATATTTTGTTTGATATCCAATTTTTTGATTTTTTTTTTGCACAGGGCTTGCTGTTTTTGCTATACTCCGTTTTTTTCGATCATTGAAAATGAGAAGGAACTTTGTTTCTTCGGGTGTGTTTTAGTTTTTTCCTTGCAAAATCAGCTATCACAAATCATCATCTGAATGGGCATGATTCGAACGACGTTAATAACTGTTAAAAACAGTTGTCCCAGTGTTGCGGAAACCGTTTTGAAGTTTTCGTATAATATCAAGCGAGTGAAGCGGTCGAGTAACGTCAGTGAAATGAAAATAGGTCCTTTATGCTCCGAAAACCTGATTTTACTAGAAGGGAAACTAGTTTTAACAGCTTCATTTAGCGCTTCCTTGTAAGAAATTTTAAGAAAACATACCATTTTAAGAAAACGACTATTTTTTATGTGTTGTTGTTTCTGAAGACAGCTGTTGTCGATTATGCCTAATTCCTAATTTTTTTCGCTTATGGAAAGTTCTCTGTCTCTCATCATACCACGCACAAAAAATGACACTAATTTGAAGAATTTTTTTTTTAGTTTTCATGAATGTAGTCGAAACATTTGGGGCTACTTGTAATGCGACCGGCTATCCTTGTTTATCTTTTTTTTACATTAGCGATCAGCTTAGCGTATTATTATGAACCTTCTTTTTTTTAACCTAACTCGCAAATAAAAGTGTTCATTAAAAGTGATCACTTATTTGGAAATTTCACTGTAGCATTGGAAATTGCATAGCTGTTCTCTGCTTTGATTGTGACCAGTGTTTGGTGCCTATTTAGCGTCCGTGTCTGAGTGGTTAGTGTGTCAGACTGAATCTCTAGGTCGCAAGTTCGAATCTCAGAAATAGCCGAATTTTTACTAATTCGAGGCTTATTTCTAATTTTTCTTCTTGAATTTTATAGAGCTGCTTTTTGTCGTGAGCTCGCTAGTTTTTTCGAAGCGAAGCTTCGGATCTGTGTTTTAATTCATCTCGATTTCACTTGAAACTTGTTAACGAAAAGAAGGCAAATTGCCATCTCCAATAACGAACGCTGAAATGGCGTAAAATAAAAACGTGATTGACTTTCAATGTAACAAATACGTTATTTTTTTTGGAATTGTCAATTGATTGATTGAAAAACCCATTGATTTAGTTTTGTTGGCTTTATCGGAAAAGTGCACACTTTAAAAGGTTCTTGGAGTTCCATGAATTTTAAGTTTCTGTGTTTTTGATGACATCAAAAGAAAAAGTGAACGAAAAAGATCACTCGTTTTTTCGGTGTATTTATGTTATATTTAAGGTTTTTCCATATTGCGTGCTAGCAAGTAGATTATAAGATCGCGTTTTTTAGGCAAAGGCGAACTCGCCGTTATTGGTTTCTCCGAAGCACCCAAACCCGAAGACCTTTTAGACGACCAGGCGTGTTTTGTAGTTCACCATTGTTGCGCAGCTTGGTCAGACGGAGTACTGCAGGACAACAACTACGAATTGCTGAATGTGGATAAAGCTGTAAATAATGGAACCAAACAAAAATGCTACTTCTGTAACCGGTATGGAGCGTCGATCGGTTGCAGAGTGCCCAAATGCATGAAATTCTATCACTATCCGTGTGCGGCAGCGGCTGGAACCCTGCAAATTTTAAGTGACATGTCGCTGCTTTGTGTTGACCACTTAGCCCAAGCCAAACCCTCCGAAGTCCTATGCGCAGTGTGCAAGAGCATGGGAGATTGCCAAGACCAAATGTTCTGCACAATTTGTGGAAACCATTACCATTCCAAATGTCTCCAGACTTCTATCACCCCCTCCCCAGAACTGAGAGCCGGTTGGCAATGCCCTGACTGCAAGCAATGCCAAACCTGTGGCATGTCAACAAATGGAAGCAAGATGCTAGTGTGTGACGCATGCGACAAAGGATTCCATACATTCTGTCTTAGACCCATGTTGTCCTCCCTTCCAAAGCAAAGCTGGAAATGCGCCAATTGCAGGTTATGCGATGACTGTGGCGCAACAGTTCCAGGAGCAACGACCACAAGTAAATGGCATCTGAACTACACGCTCTGTGATTTGTGCTTCAACCAGAGAAATAAAGGTGATTTCTGTCCAGCTTGTTGTAGAGCTCACGATAGCTTTATCGAGGTCGCAATGCTAACTTGCAGCTCCTGCCAGCGAGCAGTACACGGTGAATGTGAAACAAACGCAGACTCGTTGATTCAGAATTGCAGATCGAACTACCTCTGTCCGTACTGCAGAGGAGAAGTCAATTTGAGTGAGACTATTTTGACCGAAGACCAGCGGGAACTAATTAAGAACAATGGAAGATCCAGTTTTGAAGTAGACTATGCGAATTCAAACAATAGCGATGACAATAGTAGTGGTTTGTCAACGCCGACCGAAGTTTCGATTAAATCGGACGACAGTAATGGAATTTACGGGAAGTCGGAACCCCAAGAAGCTCTGAGTCCGTCAATTGCTGTGAAGCCGTTGCAAAATTCTTTCCATCATTTGCATGTTGCAAGTAAAAAGAAGTCTGCTAAGCCCGGTTATCCAAGTGAGAAAGGAGGTCGTCCCAAGAAGAAAACCAGCTGCTCGAGTGGAAACAAGAGGTCATTAGGAAGAAGTAACAGCATCACAACACTCGGGTTAGCTGATGGCGATGCTTTAAAAGAAGACGAAGATGACGCCACTAATTATTACAATGTTGTGATATACAGTTCGGACGACAAGTTTGTTTCGGAACAGGATGTGTGTTACAGCTGTGGAAGTTTCGGCAGAGACACGGAAGGTAAAATGATTGCGTGTGCCCAATGCGGCCAGGCGTACCATTTATACTGCACGAACTTGAATTTGTCAAAAGAAGGCTTGAAGAAGGTCATTGAGTCCGGATGGCGATGTCTGGATTGCACAGTTTGCAATAGTTGTGGAAACGCCAATGATGAAGCTCGACTGCTTCTGTGTGACGATTGTGATATAAGCTACCACACGTATTGTCTGGAACCCCCTCTTGACACTGTGCCAGTGGGAGGTTGGAAGTGTAAGTGGTGTGTTCATTGTACCAAATGTTCAAGAACTACTCCTGGAACAAATTGTCAATGGCTGAGTAACTATACCGAATGTGGTCCATGCCATTCGTCGTCTAATTGCCCCATCTGCAACCAGAGTTACGCCGATGAGGATCTCCTAGCGTGCTGCGGTACATGTCAACGATGGCTGCACGCAAAATGTGACAACATCGGCTCCGAGTCAGAACTAGACTGGGCTGTATCGAAAGGTTACCAGTGTATTCTTTGTCGACCCAAGCTAAAATCTTTCGGATCAGGAAGCGGAGATAGTTTGGAGAGAGAACAAGTCTATGACGGGATCCAACTGTCCGAATCAGGAGCACAGCATATCAAATCAATCAACAATTTTATTACTAATCAATTCAAAAGACGTCATTCTACTCGAGCCACGACCTCCATTGGGGCTTCGAGACCTCCCAGGAATAAAAGTCAGAGATCCCTCAACGACAAGCCAGATTACAGTTTTGATTACTCAGATGATGAGCTCCTATCTGACTCTGAAATTCAAGCCCAAAATGAAGTATTAAAGAGGAGACCGAAGATGAAATCAAACGTAGGTAAACTGCTTTCCAAACCCGGTAAACAGGGAAAACTTATGAAGTCAAAAAGTTGCTTCGACGGCAGAAGCAACGAGCCTTTGACGTACGATTCTTTTGTTTCTAATTGCGATATCGATATCCAAGGTTCTTCGGTAGCCCAAGAATCGTTTTTCGGAAAAAGTTTGCTTGAAATGGCTTCAAAGGAAGAAAAACTGACTAATATAGTCAATGATAACCACCCCTTATTAATCGAAGACAAAAAGTCAGATAAGGCAACCAATGATGATCTGCTGCTGAATGACGATGAATTGAATCTACCTGTGGACGATTTCTTATACGATATCTTTATGAACAACGATCATGATCAGTTCAGCGCACTAGCAGAAGACGTGATTGCTCCAAACGCAGGATTGTCGTCCGCAACCAACCAGCAACAAGCGAACCCCGGTGAGCAAAACAGCATTCTGAATCAAGTGAACGAGAACATTTTCACGTCGCATACCGATTCTTCTGCGGTTGAAGAAGCTGTCCAACTTAGAGCCGAGCTAAGCGGCGATAATAATGTTGCTCGTCCAACAATTTCAGTGCCTTCTGTAACGAGCAAAACCAAGCAAGCGACGCTGAACCATCAAGTCGAAATGCCAACTACAGTGAATTGTCTGCCGAACGAAACTCGGGTCAACCAGAACAACCAAAATCAGCATTCTACCGCTCCGGCCGTGCATCATATGACCGCAACTCCTGTCGCGAACAACATAGACACTATGGAAATTCACGCAAGACCAGCTGACTCTTCTAAGTTTGCAGCATACCAAAATCAAGTTGTGCAAAATCACAACTCGGCGCCTAACTTGTTCGACGTTGACGGTCTTCTCAACTGCGGAGGCCCTACAGGGTATCTGAACGTCGTTGACAGTCTTCCACAAATCGATTCTCAGGATGTTGATGACATTTTGGCCATGGACGATTTAGACGAGCATCCATCCGACGGGAATATGATGCCTGCAAATCAAAATGCGCCTCCGCCACCAGTATCGCTGGAATCGAATAGTATGCAGCAACCATATCACCACTCGAGCATGCTCACAAACGCAAACCACCAGGCACCGAGGTTGCAAACAACGGGAAGTTTTGCTGGTAATTCGTGGGTCAATGCAAATGCCGCCACAGTTCCTGTTCTGCAGAATCAAAGTGAACAGACCAATGGTCCGAAGAAAATTGCACCGACTGAACCAAATGCATCAAATGAGTCGGCACAAGAATCGGAAGAGCATAAGAACTATAAGCGATATGAAATTGACGAGCAACTGGGCGAGGACGCGCGCATAGCTGCTGTGCTCTATTCGGTCAAGAAGTACCCGAATCTAAAAGAAGAGTTTCCGAACACGAACGCTCGAATGAAACAGATCCACAAGCTATGGCGAAAAGCGCCTCAATCGGACAAAGTCCCATACTCGCAAATGGCCAAAGACAACCGGGCAAAGCAAAGATCGAACAAGAAAAAGAAAAGCAGTCCAGCTAATAAAGACAAAGCCACGATTCCAAATAAAGCCTCAAATAGCCAAGCTTCTGGAAGCCACGTCATGGAACAACCTTTGCAACAACATGGAGAAATGATCGAGCAACTAGCTCATCAGCAGCAATTCATAGAGCAGCACATCCAACAAACGGGAACAATTTCAACTTTTCCACCGTCGAATGCTCCCCAAATGTTAGACATCGATAATTCGATTCAGAACTTTACTCCTTCCAAGAACTTCTCGCCTGGCAAAGTGGGAGCTGGTTCTGGGATACCACCCAGTGCCATGACTGATGGCCAAAGTTTGTCAGACTCAGAGTCGCATAAACATCGCCAATCAGTGCCTTCATCCTGCTCTGAGCAATTCAACCATTCGCCGATGGGAGGAGGAGAAATGACTGGTGGTTCTTTCAGCCAACAACATTCTCCCGCCCTCAGTCAGGGAAGCATGCCAAAGAATTCACCCCTCGTGCAATCTCCACAAATGCCGCCGCACCCGTCACAGCGCCAACTCAGTTTCAACGAGACATGCAAAATCAATGCAGGTGGCACGCCGACAAATAACCACAGCGGACCCCCGTCAGACGCCTCTTCTAGCTTATCGCCGGCACAAGCTACTTCAAACAACCCCTCGGCAATTTCTCCCCATGCCGCCATGTATCGACAGCCGCCGATGGCAATGCGACCGACAGCAGTGCATCCGCCCCAGTTCTATCCAACGGGACCGCATGGAGCTCCAACGGGATATGTGATGCAGCCAGGAGCTGCTGGAACGTTCTACTACCAAGGCAGGCCTTACACCAGGTGGGGAAATCCAGAAATGATGGGCCCTGGTGCTCCTGCGCAGTGGGGACCCAGTCAAATGCACTATCCGGGAGCTCCAAGAAAGGCTTACATGGTGCGACAGCCTATGTTTCCCCACTATCGAGGCCAAGGACCAGCAATTAGTCATGCTCAATATGTGCACTCTCAAATGCCAGTGCAACATTGGCCGATGCAAGCTAGAAATGTTTCCGGATCACCCCATTACGGAGATATGTACGCAACTGCTGCTCCTCAGGCCATGCGCATGCAACCCCAGCATTATGGAGCACCACCAGGTGCGGCAATGACGTACCAGATATCAAACTCGGTAGTCCCAATGTCAACGGTACCGCAAAGATCCCCTTCGTCATCTGGAGGTTCCCATTCACAGTCGATGGCGTCTCCAAATGACAAGCAAATGATGAGTTCGGCGCCTACTATGGATCCGATGCAACATAAACAACCAAAAACAGCAGTTCCTGTTATTAGCGGCGAAGAGACGTTTGAATTCGATTTTTATCAGCCTCCAAGTGTCCAGAACGAAACTGGCTTTGATCGGTATGCAGATGAAGACTCTGCGACTTCCTCCTCGAGGCCTCAATCAGCTACTCCTGGAAGGTCTTCAATCAGACAGGAGTATCAAGCAGCAAATACATTGGCAGCGAGTACTAATGAGACTGATAGTCTTAATCTGGATCCGCAGTTTTCAGGAGGGAGAGGAGAACTGTTTGATGTGAACCAACTAGATGCTAATTTCTACGAGGCAATGAAAGATCGTCCTCCGGGATCCAATGCTCCCCTGGTCATGGCGGGAAGAGCCCTGAATCAGGCAGCTGCGCTTGCAGTTGCAGATGTTGTCGATACACTCAGTGCCAACTATCAAGCACAAGAGGTAAGCACTTCTACTCCCATGAGTAGCTTGACTCACAGTCACTCTGCTGTGAGATCAAGTAGCGTCAGCAGTTCCATTCAAGACACCTCTTCGATTCGAAGCACGTCATCTAAGGTGTTGCGCGATGAACAACAAATAACATCTACTTTCGGAAGCGTGAGAATGAATGCGGTAAATGACAGCAAAGAGGCCCTAGCAAAGTCAAGGTTAGTTTCTGAACAACCTCTGCTGATTGAGGATCTTCTGGAACAGGAGCGAAACGAGCTGAAATGGAATCAAAATTCTATTAGTGTCTCATTGCATAGTCCAAGCAGTCAACAGTCAAACTCCAGTGCAACCAAGTCTTTGAAATCATCGGAAGTTTCGCCTTCGTTTCCACACAGCGAGATGTTGCAAAGAATGGCAGTGTCCAATCGAGCGAATCCGCAAATGCCTATATTTCCTGCTCAAGTAAGTCCATTGGGTCAGCCTCCGATGGTTCACGTGTACGGAGCACCTGTCATGCAAAATGCACCAATGGGTCATCATAGATATGCGCCAAATTTGCAACTCTTTTCGCCCACTCAATTGGCTCAAAAACATGCTCAGAATGCTTCTGGATTTGGGCAAAACCCTGGTTCAATGAGTCTGGATCCGACAAATCAACTACAAAGTCCAGGTCAGGTTGGAGACCCAATGGTTATGTTCTCAAGACAAATGAGTCAGCCCCAAAACGCCTCTGAAATGTACAACACTGATGACCCTTTAGCTGCTAGACTCAAAAAAGCGGAGGAGGAAATTTGCAAACTCAGAAGAACCAAGAAGCAGTTGGCGTCTAAGCAGAGAGTCGCGAAGAAAAGCGGCAACGATTTAAGTGAACAAGAACGAAAGAACCTTGAAAAACTGGGAGCCGATATATCGGCTAAAGCTAAGGAGTTAGATAGCATCAAGAGAAAAATTCGAAACGCAAGCGACTCAACAGCAGCAACAGGATCAAGTGAATCAGCGGGTCAAAATGAGGGCCAGAGAGACCGATCTCAGTCTCGCAATAGCAACATGGGACCACCTCAGCAACCAGGGGTTACCGGAATTTACCAGACTGGGAAACTTCCACCTTCATCCGCCAATAATATCCCTTTAAACTCGCCCCGGCTCAAAAGACCTGCAATGGATATTTCAACAACGGGAGCTAATTCTCAATTGGTCAATTTGATTGCGAAAAACGACACAACTCAGAGAGCTACCCATCATGATGCGTTCTCACTGGCAAGTAATGAGAGCTCGAACCAGTCCTGTTTCGACCAAGACTTCGGACTAATGGGTGGTGGTGATTTGCCTTCCTCAATTTTGGAACCAAGTTCAAAAAGACGCAAGCTAAAGCAAGAAGAGGCTATGCAACACCAAGGAGTAATGCCTCAAGATACGCAGCGTCTGCTTTCCTCCTCTGATCAGAACCAGTTTGCAGAAGCCTTCTTGGAACCCGTTAATCCTCAGAGCGAGGAAATTTTGGCCCAGGATACTTTGATTTCCGCGATCAAACAGTTACAAGAACTAAAACCACAGGAACCTGATTTGAAAATAGAATGGTCGTTAATAAGTCCAAAGATTCCTTGGAGTTCGGAGCCTTTAGGACCAAGTTTGCTAACTGGTCAATTTGGTAAAGGAGTCATACCAGGAAGGAAGGATTATTATACCGCATTCCTCAACAAGGAACCCCTGCCTTCAAGTGAATCGCCCTCTCCATCTTCTGCGAACTCAAGACCCTCTTCGCCACACGAAAAGTCGGAAGCACTTGAAAGGCAATCATCAGAAACTAGAGAACGCGAGGCACAGTGTTCGACGTCTAGTGACGACTCTAAGAATAGAGCTGACTCAGGAATTTGCTTAGAAACTTTTGAAGATAACTTCGCTTCAGAGCAAAATAGCAACAAAATTGAGCTCGAGTTTTTGAGTCGAATTGATCTGGCGTCTAAGCGACCATCGGGTGCAATGTCGCCTTTACTGCAACCTGATTGGTTCATGAAGAGTCTAATCAAAGCAGAGTCCAAGGACCTGGAAGATACGGAGACAGAATCAAATCGTCCTGGAGAATCAATTGTTCTGAAGCGCTTTGACCTTGACAATGCGAAGTTCAGGTCCGTCCAAGCACCACAAGAACTGGAAATTTCCCTCGAAGTGCGCAATACAACTGGTCATCTAACCGATTTACAAAGTCTGCTGAAAAGGCTGTCACAAATGCTCTGCATTGGACCCCTAGATAACTACAACCTGAAAAATGTTTCAAAGGAGAACCGACTTCAAGTTGGGTCGGATGGAGTCCTGGAGTTGCACCTTAACGGATCCGATGTTCTGGCCTCTAACCCAGCGTTCTTTAACGGAAGAGACGCGAAGATTATGTCGAGACGATCCCCAGTTGTTGGCATGCCTTTTAACCCTTCCGCGAAGGTCTGCACAACGTGTAAAGCTCCTCTTGCTCAGAATATCATTGTTAAAAATTTAAATGAAATCTTACCCGATCAATCAGAGGAATTGCAATTTTGCTCCAATGACTGTTTCCTCCAAATGGCCATTTTAATCAAACGAAGTCAACTTCGGGCCGGCCAAGGAGATAAAAGCTTCGAAGGGTTTTCGCTACTGGACATGAAAGAGTTAGAAATGAAACTGAGACCAAGTGAGGGCGATGGAAATTGCAATGCGCTCAAAACTGCCAAAAGATGGGAGAACATTCGTTGGAAACGGTTCAAGAGGTCCAATGCCGCCATTCCGTCACCGAGCACCCAGCAAACCGCAGTTGTGGCAAACGAAGACACCAACGTTGCCATCGAAACCATTGAAAGTGTAGCAATTCAAGATTCAGATAGTTCTCCAGTGGTGATTTCAGCACCATCCTCTTCAACGACGCATCCCCAGAATGTAGGTTTAAAAGAGGAGGTCATTAAGATGATAAACGAGATCGACGTGTGCTTAACCTGCGATCATTCTATCGACACCAGGAAATGTCTCTTCTGCCAACAGATCGGCGACGGCAAACCGAACGGACCTGGAAGGTTGCTGAACTACGATTGTGACAAGTGGGTTCACCTTAATTGTGCACTCTGGTCTGAAGAAGTGTACGAGACGACTAACGGGGCCTTGATCAATGTACAAGCTGCTTTTATCAGAGGCCTAGAGCAAGAATGCAGTCGGTGCGGCTATTACGGAGCAACAGTGGCCTGCCATAAGACCAAGTGTCCCATGGAGTACCATTTTCCATGTGCATTGCTAGTTGGTTGTATGTTCTTTGTCGACAAAACAGTGTTGTGTCCGCAGCATAAATACAGAACGAAAACAGAAACGGTTTTGGAAAATTTTGAAGCACTGCGTAGGGTGTTCGTTCACAGAGAAGAACACGAAATCATTGCTCGTGTGGTCGAACAAACAGAAAGGAAGTTCACATTCAGGTGTGGAAGCACTGAGGTGACTAATATTGGACAGCTATTCCCTCATCAGATGAACTCTTTCCACACTCAATCTGCCATCTACCCCGTCGGTTTCAAGACCTCAAGGTTTTATTGGAGCCTGGATGATGTGAACAAGCGATGCAAGTACTCGTGTGATATTGCAGACGAAGAAGGCAAACCTCACTTCTCAGTTTCATGTCTGAAGTCTTCTGAAAAAGAAACGTCAGCAGAGCTAAAATCAACCGAAGAGCTAAAGGACAGCTTAGGGAACGAGAAAAGTGAAGTTAGTGAAATTGAAATTCAAGTGTTCAAAGGACCAACACCGCGAGAACCGTGGAAAGCAATATTGCAAGCTGTGAATAAATTACGACTTTCATCCTCCAGTGCTCTGAAGCTGTTCTCTGAAGCTTGCTCAGGCGAAGAAATGTTTGGCCTAAACGACGTCCAGATTCTGAAGATTTTGGAGTCATTTCCTAGCATTGAATTATGCAGAAATTACAACTTCAAGTTTGGAAGGTCGCCTTTAGTCCATCTACCACTTGCTATCAATCCATCGGGTTGTTGCAGGAGCGAAGCCAAACTGAGGAGTTACATCAAGCGTCCGCATTGTCTGACAAGTAGTCCCAAAAAGGGTCCAAGATCATCTATACCATCTTTGACGTGTTCCTCGGAAACAGAGGGTGTTGCCTACTCTAAACAGTTTGTGCATACGAAGAGCTCGCAGTACAAAAGAATGAAGCAAGAATGGAGAAATCTATGTCATTTGAGTCGATCCAGGATCCAAGGTCTCGGCATGTACTCATCACGAGAGGTCGAAAAAGGAACGATGATAATCGAGTACATTGGTTTATTAATCCGATCTGAAGTGGCGGAAGTGAGAGAGAAGCAGTACGACAGAATGAACCGAGGAATCTACATGTTCAGACTTGATGACGATTGGGTGATCGACGCTACGATTCACGGGGGTCCGGCAAGATTCATCAATCACTCGTGTGACCCAAATTGTCAAGCCGAGTTGGTAGTGTTTGACAAGGCTGGGGGAGTTGACAAGAAAGAAAAGCGCATCATCATAACCTCTATTAGAAGAATAACAAAAGGCGAAGAACTGACATATGACTACAAAATCGATTTCGAAAATGACGACAAAATTCCCTGCAACTGTGGAGCCTCTGCATGTAGAAAATGGATGAATTAGCCCAAAGATGAACCCAACTCTAACGTAGCTTGTTAAACTTAACGCTCAGTACAATGGAAATGAGTTTACCGTGGAAACGAGTTCGCCGCCATTAGATTACAATCAAATGCTGTAATTATTAGATGAATTGTAAAATTTGTTAGTTAAGATTTATAGGCCCCAAACCATAAACCATGTCAAGAAAAGGAATAAGGAGCTGTTTTAAATTTTGCACTCAATTCGTTTAATTTTCCAATTTTTTGCAGTTATTGACTAGTTGCCCTCGAAATGACCGATGAAAAACGAGCAAAAACGAATCAGCGCCCAGGAAGCCGAATGGGAGACAGGAAAACTTAAAAACTTCTGACGAACAATTGATAATGTTTTGGATGCGTTTTCTTTATTCTAATCTTGTTATTACGCAACTAAGCCTAACTGATTTTTGACGAAGATATAAATTCTAAATAATCTCTAATTCTTTTATTCTGTTATTTTGCCATTTAATTCAGTGGCGTCCAAACTTATTCGTTAGCCTAAAATTGATGCTTCAATTTCGTCTCGTGTATTATCACCAATGTGAAGTTTTCAATGAATTTTCAATTTATCTACCTTATAACAGTTTGCTTGAACTCAGTTTATTAGTGATTTAAATTCAACATATTAAGTAAAAGTTCTATATTTTCACTTTTAACTGAAGTAGTATACAATTATTTCAGCTGATTTTTGATAATTTATCCCTGTTTGTGGCCGATTCCGTTTCAGTGAAACAAATTCTGCAGTTTTGATAGTATATCGTCAAGTAAAGTTGTTTCTAACTATTTATTGGAGCATTTTCAACTAAACCGAGTGAATTAAACTGAGATTATATGTATCTAGATATTGGTTGTCTTACTCCTCTGAGCCGCCGCCTAAACAAGACAATACAATACCTAGTCAACAACTGTGTAGTTTGATGGTAAGTCACGTGATGCGATGATTACACAGCAGAAGTTCACTGAGTGACTCATAATATGCCCAAAAAGTAACCCGCGAACTTGTTTCTTACTTTATACTCGACTAATTACATAGTATTTAATCATGCTCTTCCTTTCCTCCTATTTTCTCAACTCTTTTGGACTTAATTTTGGATTTGGCACTTCTTAAGTCCCAATAAGTGATCGATCATTTGTTTCGAAAAAGTTTTATCGGCTGATTTTGAATTTATCGATGTGCGCAATTGACACTGACGTTCGGTTTTGACATTGTTGAGCTGTATGTAAATATTACATTGCATTACATTATTATTAAAGTACATTACAATACATTACTCCTCTCATGTTGAAAAATTTTATGTATTGGTGAATTCATAGAATAGATTCTTTTAATTTTCATTTTTTTCTTAATAATAACCTAAATTAGTTGCCGCATTTCCTATTGAAAACATATAGTTCAATAGCTTTTTCGATATTTTAACAAATGCAAATACTGTACTCGGGAAGAAGTCTAATTATTCTAGCAATATTTCTTCCAATTAGGCATAGAAAACGATAAAAATTACAGGTAATTTTTTTAAGATAAACAACTATCATATCTAATTACGAGCTGAGTTAGGAGTTTTTGGCTTTTGTGTTCAAAAATTGGCATTTGATTTTTCCGGTTTCAGTTTCTTACTGTCATCGATCAGGAAGTTGTCCATATGAATTAATTCTTTTCTCTTCTCAGTCACATTAGCTCAACCGTAGAGAATCATGTGTTATAAAAATTGTAAAAATCATGTAAAATCGGCGTTGAGCAGAATTAGCCGTTAGATTTCGAACTTAAAAAAGATTGTAGTCCATATGAAATTTGTTCCCACTTTTCAGTAATGACTTCTTCGCGATATTATATACTTTCTATATAAGGTTTTTGAGAAAAGGACATTCTAAACATCTGCAATGGAAAATGGGCTATTTGTGTTAATGGTCTTGGCATAAACAATTTGGGATACCAAACTTCAGAGATTTTCCAAAAAACCTGTCCTCAAATCTGTTTTGTCTCTCAACTGCGAACGCATCAGGCTGCTTAGTATTTAGTTGTATCTGCTGGTAAATAAATCTTTGAAATCGTCGAGCTACAAATAACTTGTAAACCATTTACCAGGCAGTTACATTTTCAATTCTTCTTGCAGAAAAAGTTTTTCAGAATGCTGTAAATGTTAGAAGCAAAAATTTTCACTTTTTTGCAATTTACTTTTAAACTGTTCATTTCCTTTGTTGAAAGGAAGACAAAAACCACTACATCAAACAGCGAAATTGTGAAGGCAATGATAAACGTGATCGTTTTCTAGTTTCGAAATGGAATTTAGCTCAACTTTTCCCAGCAATATTTTATAAGCAAAAAACATATTTCTTACTAACAAAAACACTCTTTTTACTCAACGATTGTATGATCAGATAATGTTTTAAATGGTGTTGGCGGCTAGGATTCATGTTATGTTAGTTTAACTTCGCTTCGCCTCTGTGTTGAATTTATGTAGTTTTTTAAAGCATTATTTGTCGAAACTTAAAAGTTAATGCAGACATGAATTTCGAGGTCAGCTGTTGATCGAATTCATGCCGGGTTTAATAAAAAGTAGTCAGTAAAATTGAAATTTTCCAATCCGTTTTTCTGGAACTTGAATCACAGCTCAAATGTTCTAAGTGATACTCCATTTGAATTTACTACATGATGATTTGAAATAATTAAAATTGTGGTGGAAACTCAAGGCACTCCACAATTTTTTTGAAATAGACATTTGAAAAGAATTATGTAAAGTCAGAATTTCCAGCTACGAGCAGTCCTTTTATAATATAAAATTAACTTAATCAATGATTTTTTCTGTCAATTTACTTGAAACAATAAAAATTAAAATATGTTTCAAATCTTTGTTTATGGATCAAGCAAAGTTTTAATAAAACATCAAACATTTTTTGTAAACTTGCGTCAATCCTGTGAACTCAAACTTGAAAATGAAACTTTTATTTGCCCCTTGATGTATCGTTTCAAAAATTTTGAGTCGTGAAACCATCTTCAAGGCAAAAGTTTCAGTGATGTACCTGTGTCGGATAAAGTCTTTCTCTTCATCAGAAATGAACTATTTTTGTCCTCTTGCTGAAATCAATAATTTTGACTATGAAAAATCCTAAAGAGTCTTAGGAACCTAAATCTCCAACTTTATTTCAACCGCCCTTTGAACCGCCCTTTAAATCGTATTGCAAAGGTGAAAAATCGTATTGCAAATAACAAAAAAGACGATTGCTGTGCAAGTAGCAGAGAATTTTCCGACCATAATATTGAAAACAAAGTGACATAGTTTTTTTTCAAAATTTTAGTCATAGTGTGGGCTGTGATAAAGATGTATGAAAACAACTTACGCGTAAGAGTTATAAAAAAATTACGAGGTAGGATAAATTTTACGCATTAATGGCAATCATAATATGATAGACAAATTGGATTTAAAACTGAAAAAAAAACAGAAAAAAATCACAGAATAATTGAATTAAATTTTTTCCATTATTTTGTACAGAATTTTTAAAATTATTTTCCAATAGCCCTTCAATTCGAGCCCAATGATTTTCTGTGATATCTGATTAATCTTGGGAAGAAAACAGAAAAGAGAAAAAGCACCCGACAACAAAATTATTCTCCATTTTTAATTGTAATAATAACAAGGTCTGTCTATATTAGGCACAGAATGTTCCGCAGTGGCTTAGGTTATGGCTTTTACCTTCAAAGAAGAAATTAAATAACATCGGTTAAAATCAAATTTTTTATCCGCAACACTTTTTTTAATTTTTAATTTTTCCTGTTTTGTTTTTTCTTACATGCACAAAAGGTAATTACCGAACTAGGGCTTAGCAAATCATTCTTAATTGAAATGATACAAAGCTGAACAAAAAACAACAGTACATGACATAAACAAAATCCCTAGTCATTCTTTTCGAACGTTTGAAATTGGAGTTAATCCCTTGTCGAGGTCGAGTTCTACGTCGGTTTTATGTTCAGATTTTATAAGTCTGAGTCAATCTGCGTTGGGACTGAAAAATGATACTTGCAAGACAGCTCAAAAACTGCAAAATTTAAATTTAGAATTAGCAAATTCTGAATTTTGGCTGCAAAGTCTGAACATATGTCTGCAGAGTCTAAACGTAAAGCAGCAAAGTCTGTAGACCAGTCTGCAAAGTCTGAAAAACTCTACAAACAATAAAAATTAGACATCTAAGGCTAAATTATGGACCGGACAAGGTCAGATCATTGGTCAAATTGGGCATTATTTTCCTACGACCTCCAAATGGCAAAATTTCTGCCCAAAATCAAGTAAATTTTATAAAAATATCATTAATTCGATTAAATCACCTTTTTGCCAATCATAACAGATGTGATTGAAGCTGAATTTACAACTTTGCAATTTTCTTTAAATCTGATTGTTTTTAATTTTAGGCCGCCAGTGAGGTATGCTTACGTTATGTAAACTAAAGCAGTAAGTTTTTGAGACAGTACTTTAATTTTTCAAAAAAAAACAGCAACATCATCCTTTGTTCATACTTCATTATCACAGTGGAGTAAAAGTTTGTTAGAAATCGTTCAATATCAAAAAAGACAAAGATATTCTTTAACAAAAACACAGAGTTTTATTGTTCAGCTTTTTTAGTCGACGTGTTATAAATCAAAATTAGATGTTTTAGGTGTTTTTTTTGTAAACTGAAGTGATACAACTAAAAAATTTACATGGACGGACAAACTAAGTTTCACAAAAAAAAATGTTCGTTTCTTTTTTTGTAAATTTGTTAAAATGAAACCAAAGCCTACTCAATTATGCTGGTCTTGCGAAATTAATTTTCAAACTAGAAAATCAAATTAGAAACTTGATAGATTATTGCACCAGTAAAATTTCTCTTAGACAGACGGGCTAAGTTGCAAAAAAGTTTAACATTTTAAAAAACAATTTGTTAGTATGAAAACAAAGTCTACCCATTTTGCTTAATCTTCCCAAATTAATTTTGAAACTGAGATTTTCATTCGATCAATGCCTTATCAAGTTGACGATTTTGAAAAATAAAAGTTGTTTCGAGGAAAAAGTCTCAATAATCGTACCACGTCGAAAAAAAACATCCTTTGCATCAAACTCCTTCTTTTGTTAAAATTTTTATATTAGATAAAGCAGAATAAAAATACTTATAACAGAACCTAAGCCTTCAACACCAATATATTTTTTCTGTTTTTTCCAAAATTTGAAATTGGGAAAAAATTTTGTATTTGGATGTGTTTTAGTTGTTTCTCTTTTTCCACGTAAAATTAGTTGCCACAAGTAATCATCGGATTGGGTCAAGTGATGAACCATGTGGACCCTTTTTAGTTGTGATTTGAACAACCTTTAAAAACTTTTAGACTTTAAAACCTGTTTCAAGTTTGTCAAATATCAGTCAATTTTTAAGCGAGTAAAGTCACCGCCTTCCTTGTTAATACCTGCCGCCAGTTTTTAAATGTTTGAATCATAAGAGAAAACGTACTTTTTTTCTGTTCATTGAAACATAAGTTCTTGTTGACCAGTATTCCTTTTATGTTCAGTTTATCAATCCATGTTAGAGAATTTTCCAACAAAGAAGATGTGTTTCCAAAATTATCAAGTTTTTCAAATTTGTGTATTTTAGGGATATCATTGATGCAACAAAAAAAATTAGAATTGATCTCTGAATATTTATCAATTTCAGATTTTGCTGTGTATTTTTCATTTCAATATTTTTGGCTCTCAATTGATGGCTCTCAAATGAGGGTTTTACAATAAAAAATTTTTCAGCCACAACTTTGAATATTTTTGGAGCAGTATATCATAGTTTACATTGTCAAAATTGTTGGTAACCAAATGAAAGAGCAAAGATCTTTTTCACTGTTCTGCTAAAAAACATTTTTTTTGCTTAGGAAAGTTCCGCATTTGCATTTTACAGTTGATCATTTGACCAAACTTTTTCTTGTTTTTTGTCAAAATTGTTCGGCCGAGTTTTTTTTGATAAAAACTGGTAAAAGCAGAAATGGTTTATATGTCATATGTTATATTCATATGTCATATGGTTTTTCAAGCCTTTGTATATTGTGACCGTTTTACTAAGTCTCAAGCACACTATTTAGACTTACTTCTCGTTAATCGAATAAATGATCAAGCCGTTATATATGAGCAGATTGCAGGGTTAAGTGTTCGTATCAAAATACAAGTCTGAATTACGGTTTTTTCGGTGCATATACAAACAGTCCCATACAAAACAGTCCAATGCAAAATAGTCCGAAAACGACTGCGGCGGTCACTATTTTGTTCTATATGTTTGTTGAACAAATGACAATTCTCGGCCTACCGGCTTGTTGAAACAATTATTACTTGGGACTGTTTTCCTGACTGTTTTGTATTGGACTGTTTTGTATGGGACTGTTTTGTACAGACACAGTTTTTTCGATGTTTTTTATTCATAAAATCTTGATCTTTCATTTTAGCACAAATAAGTTTAAGTTTTATACCTCATTGCAATTGTATTCCTTATTTAGCGTTTAAAGTAAATTGTATCAGGTTTTCACAAATTTTGTGATAACTTATTTCACAAAAATTGTTTTCACAAAAACATACGACTTTATAGTTTCTTACATTTGATTTTGTCTTTGTTTTGTTGCCTTTATTATGAGAATTTGTCTTAATCTTGGAATGGTGTAGTAAAAACTTGTATAATGTCGACGTTGTGATCAATCTTGGAAATATACTTTGACAAAAAACTGGTTAAAAGAATCTTCAATTTTTTTGCCTGGAGGCGTAAAATAAAATCTACGCGTGCAATAGAACAAGCCCTAGATTAAGTAAGAGATTCAGATGATTAGAAATCTCATTAAACACAGGTTTTAACAGGCGATGTTGCGAAATTTTTTTATTAACAGTTGGTATTGAAATAAATAATAAAAAAATTATATGAATACATTTGAATAGTTCTTGAGTTCTATCAAATCAAACTCATTATTCAGTTAACCAGTTTTCTCTTAAGAAAATAAGACAACGGAATGATTCCAATGTTGCTCCTATAGATTTGAAGTTCTCTAAAGTTAAGATTCAGCAATCGTATAATCTGTGTTCTAGTCTTAATTACTTAAGCAAGATTTTGAGCATAACTGTCTAAAACATCGTCCAAACCGCTCAAATCTTGTTTGGAATTGGGCTGAAAACTTTGACTCGGGTTTGATTTATCGCTCAGACATGTCATGCAGCTTTTTAAAATAAAGTCTTCGAAGAAGGTCTTTTTGTGTGGTGTAAGACTGTTGGGGTCTTCTCAACAATGTCCCCCCTTTCAAGAAAGGGATGAAAATTGTTAAGTAGATTAAACTAGTCGAAATTTAGACCAATCAGAATGCAGCAAAACTAGATTTTCAGAATTTTCAAGAGAAAGCTCTAGTGCTAACTTCTTGTGTTTATTTCTACGGATGGATATATTGTTTATAACCCCTTAATATCAATATTTTTAGAATATTATTTGGGTATTGCATTGGGATAAAAAGTTTTATTAATCTAATCAATTGTAGTTAATTGTATAAAAGTAAAATAAAATGATTTTCTTTAGGAAAATTTTTTTATTTATCTTGTTAAGACGCTGATCTTTCGTCGTATCATTCGTTTCTCCTCAATTGTTTTCGCATTTTCCAGCTAAAACGACAAAATTTGAGTCTTTCAGAAAAGGAAATTTTTTAAAGCCCTTTGGTAAAATTATACATAACCAACCTGTAGTTTCAAGGTTTCCACCGTTAGCTTCGAACTCTCCGTTTCAAGAGAAATTTGATCAGTACTTTGAGAATTTTTCTCGTTTTTCGAAAAACTAACGTCATTTTTCAGTTCATTTTCCTGAACCGTTTCAATGTTGTCCATAGAGTTTCTTCTAGAATGTTCGACCGACTGGCTGAAAGATGCATCTCTAGTGTTCGTATTAGCCGAATTCTCAATTTCGTTTTCACTGCTTCTCGACTGTGGCAACATCGACTCACTGATATCATCGGTTGATTGAACAACAATTTCTTCTTGATGAATATTTTCTGCAACTCCATCTTCAAGTATATCTGTTGACTCAAAATTAGACGACTCGTTCGAATCTTCTTGAAGTGAAATTCCGGCTCTATAAAACTGTTCGGCTTCGTGGCTTTTCGCAATTTCGAACTTTTTTGGTTCAATGAGAGCATCCGCCAATCGTGACCGTTTCTTCCTATTTGAAACTCTGTGAACTTCAATGGCAGTTTTTCTCGTTGCTTTTGATATATTGTAAACATGGCATTTCTCAAACTCAACATTTTCTACAATTTCCGAAGAACCGAAATTGTTTTCGGATGGGGTTTTCGACGCCACTCTGCGAACTTCAATTGCAGCTTTTATCGTTGCTTTCGGTAGCTTGTGAACATCACATTTCTCAAACTCAACATTTTCTACAATTTCCGAAGAACCGAAATTGCTTTCGGATGAGGTTTTCGAGGCCACTCTGCGAACTTCAATTGCAGCTTTTATCGTTGCTTTCGGTAGCTTGTGAACATCACATTTCTCAAACTGAACATTTTCTACAATTTCCGAAGAACCAAAATTGTTTTCGGATGAGGTTTTCGACGCCACAACAATGCTCTGAGTTCTTGGCAAAATTTTAGATGGAGGATCGATCCAATTAGCTGTCTCAAAATCTATGCGCGTTCTTTCAGAAACTCTAGCTTCCAAAATGCCCTGCTGGTTCTCTAAGACAACTGAAGGGCTCACGTAACAAACTGCTTTCAAACTCCTATTTAACTCAGCCAATTTTGATTGGTCAAACGAAGGTGAGTTCAGTTCAAGTCTTCGGCATTTGTTTAACGTTTGATCACGGACCAATATGTCGTTTTCATGTCGTTTTGCTTTTTCGGGGGCATTCTTGGTCCAAAGTTTAACACTTTCAGCTGGTTGTTCCACATGAAAAAACTCTCCGCGAATCGAATCGACAAAAGGCTTGCACACTTCCCAGTCTTGAGTTTTTAGTCGAACTTTCTTCAACTTTTCGGAGCTCGGAATTCTTTGAATGACGTCGGAAGGTTTTAATAAAGCTTTCTCAAAGCTGGTTGGCTCTTTTACATCGCTAGCAGAAATCTGATGTAATATCTGAAGTCTCACGTTTGTAGTTTGATGTTCTGGAATTCCTGTTTCCAATTCGATTTGAGGATATTTAAAGCTTTCAGTTGTATCAAAAGTTATACATTCATTTGGCGATATTGTGATTTTTTCGAGATGAAATTTCTCAAGATCTGCAGGTGTACTGTTGCGTCTTGTTAACTCTAAATAGTTTGAAAATAGAACCAAAATTGTTTGCCGAAGAGAGTTTAAAATAAAATTTTTATACTATTTTTTTAAAACTTACCCAAGAACTTGAAGAGAAAATTAGGGTTGCTTTTTGTACGCTGAATTTTACCTGAAACAAAAAATAGTTTAATGATATAGAAAAAATTCGAACTTTTTGATAGCTTTAAATGAATAAAACATGATGAAAAATTTGGCTCATGAATGCGATTAAGCACACTTTTGATTTCAGATAGATAGTTTTTATGACGTTCGATCATTTGAGTTGACTCATATCATTATGCTTAACCATTTGACAGTAAAGTTCATTCAAAGACCTTTTAAGCTAATTGTTTCATTCAATTCACCACCTGATAAGAAAATTTTGAGGTGCTTAACATTAATTGATTTTTAGATTTGTGTAGTTGATGTTTTTTTGCAGATTATTTATGTAATTTTCTAAGAGTCTGCCGACTTTGAAGGTAACTTTATTGACTGTTTTGTCAATAAAAATAAAGATATTGACCGGTTCAATCCAAAATTTTGGATTTTTGGAGCTGGGAATAATTTTTTGTCAAAAATAACTAAGACTGAACATTAAAGTTTTTTTTCTAAGTGACCAATTTTATTCAAGTGACAAAAAATTTAAATAAACAAATAACTCTTTTTAATGAATGATATTAATTTTTGCTGAAATTTTTCTGAATTCACTGCAAGCATTATACAATTGAACAGCAAATCTAAATTGTAAGTCAACATTCAAAATATTAAATTCTAGTCGGCCGATTAAAATGGCATCCAAGCAACTCAACGAACTCTTACGAAATTAAGGAAACTTGTCCCTAAATCTTACATCGCTCGTTTAAGGTGGCAAATTTTTAAATTGGTCCAATGCTTAATGAAAAGATGGTAAGACAATAATGGTGTTAGCCTTTTTCACAAAATAAAAAATAAAGCTAAATTGCAAATAGAAGCTCAAAATCAAAATAGTTTTCACCAAAAACGTTAGCATGCGATTAAAATTTGTTGAAGCAAACTTACCACTGTATTTCTTCGTTGAACCCTCTGAGTCGTCGATTTTTTTTCCGTGGAATCCAAGCAATATCTAAGCACACGCAAAAACATCTTACATAGAATCATTATTTGAAATACTCGCTAAGGCACGCACATCAAAATTGCTCCCCAAAAAAGCTCAGATTTTGACAAGGTGATGATAATGGAACAACAAGAGCTATTTACATTCGCCCTGATACAAGCCTTTAAAGTGTTTTTATTAGAAAAACAATAAATCGTTTCTATGTTAATTCATTACACAATCAAAATTTCAAAAGAAGCATTCTTTTTACAAAAATATCACTTGTGAGATTGCCAAAACCTGAATCTAGTTGTCTTCATGCTTTTCAGTTTTGTTTAAGGTTGAATCGCAAACGATTGGAATCTTTTCAGAATTTTATAAACCAACTTGTTTTACTATTTAAGCCAGCCGTCTTCATTCGTATTCATTTGATTTTTTAACTGCTAAACAATATTTTTTCTTAAACAATAATTTTCTATCAATGTGGCAAAGTTTTGAAGCAGTCAGTCATTTTTCCTAGTAACATAACTTGTAGAAAATCAAAGAAAACTTTTGCGAACAATTGCGAAGTGTATAAAAGCTGCGATTTTGATTTAAGCTTTTTCATGGCAATTACATTATCTTTGAGCTTCTAAACAAAATCTTAAATGCTCGTCAAAATGTCACAAAGGTGTCACTCTGACCGTTTGATAAATTATCTCGGCAAAAGAAAGCCGAACAAAAAAACAGCAACGCTTAAAGATTGTCGTCAAAATTAGTTTATATACTGATGCTCTGAAACTATATTTGCTCAGAACGGTTTTTTAAAAATTTTACAGAGTCAAGTGTGTATAACAAAAAAAGCTAATGAGCTTAGTATATTACATTTATTTTTGGCATGATTGAACTTCAAAAAACATTTTCAAACGGAATGATTTTTAGGCTTCCTAATTTGAACTTTGTTTTGAGCTCATCTAAAGTAGTAAAAACAATTTAATGTGTCAAAAATGTTCCCAAGTTTTCTCAGATAGATTTGCACTAACTAATGCAACTGAAAACGCGTAAAGGACTTGGCTAATAGCCATCACCCTTTATGTTTTTTTGAATAATGAAAAATTAAACCAATATGTTTAAACACTTGGTACCGGTGATAAAAACTATAAGTACTGATTTGTTTGTATAGTTTTTTTTGGATAAATGCCCTAATTGTATGATAAAAACTACTTTGCGTCAACCCATTTGTTTGGGCAAAAATTCATCATGATAGACCTATAGTCCATAAAATCTGGCCTGGCTAAATCATAAATTTTTGTGCGTGGGCGTGTAAAATGAAGGAACAATGTGGAAAATTTCAACATTAAACTGAAAATAATTCAGAAGAGTGCCAGTGATTGTAGCATGATCTTCTCGCAAAGTTGGGAATTCCAGGCTCAGAGGTTTGTTCACCTTCGATGACTTGTTCTCACTCTTTTCAATGTATAAATTACAAGGTGTACTGTAGCACAGATTGACCACGCTTGTAAAAAAAACTAAAAAGCACGTTTCTGTAGAAAAAATTTTAGTTAGCAACTTTTTGTGTTATTTTATTGCTCAATTGTACACTAGAAATCAAAAGGTTTAGCCTGTTTATCTCAATTCTGGAATAATTTTAAGAAAAATTTTATTTTCGTTCGAACTATGACTTAAAGGGTCTTTAATAAGATAACTCATTCTACTTATTCTGATGATTTAACGAAATCGGTTGAATCATTTGATAGCTTGGCTCATAATAAAAAAAATTCTCAGCTTCTTTGGCACTACTCGTCTAGAGGTTGCAACTACGCCTGGTTCGGCTAATTTTTTAATTTTTTTTTCAATTTTCTTTCTTATTTCTTTCAAACAGGAAAAATTTCCTTAAAAACTATCGTCAGACTATTGTTTTTCTGTTTTTATTTTGTGTGAAAAGTTGCCATGTCATGAAATTTTCATGTGTTGTAAACTTTAGCTTTACTTCTAAAATTTCTTATTATACCTTTAAAGTGTAAGCATATTGAATTTGAGTTTTTTGGTGATTTCTTTTTTCGTTATATTTTTGCTCCGAGTTTTTCTCGGCTTCAATTGTTTCGGCTCTTGTTTTATCGGCTTTTTAATTTTGTGTCGTTTGTATTAAAAATTTTTAAATCCTGATGCGTATATCCGGGGGGGGGGGCGTAAAAACATAAATTTTCAGTTTTCAAGTTTTGCATGGCATCTTTTTTGTTTTTGACTCAGCGGGAGTTTGTATTACTTAAGTCGGCCCGATGTCATTCATTAAAGGATTGAACAACCTAGTTTTTTCAATCTTTTTCCTTCCATTTTTTTCTACCTGCTTGCAATACTTCTGCTTGTGAAGTACCGCAAGTATTTACTTGCACAGCAACTGACAATTCCTACTTTTTCTTGTTATGAAGCAAAATGAGGTCCCAGAAAAAATCAGAATTAGTCTAGTGAAATATCATATTGAAGCCTTTTTAGCCTTGAAACGATCATCATGCAAAACAAAAACAAATACAGCAATTATTTTACTCTTGTGATCAGTTGATTGTGATTATCGATATTAGCTGATTGATATTAAATGAGAAAATTATTTTAGTAACAATTATTAAAAATAAGATTAAGATTAACTTTTTCAACAGAAATAGCGGAGAAAAATAAAAGCAAGTTTTTTAATGGATCGCATTTCGCCAAATCACACCAACCATGGTGGATAACACTGAGCAGAAATTAAGCAAAAACTCAACTCCGGTTATAGATTAAAGTTCGTACCTTTGGCAAGCTTAAATGCACTGCTGGCGACGAAGATTTTTGACCTCCTTGCGTATTTCTTGCACAATGTTCTGCTCCTGTTTCTTCGTGAATCAGATGACTGTTTTCAATTGCACTTGACCTAGAAGCCTCACCAAAAATTTCTTCATCAAGTGAAAGCATTCTCAGGCAACGTGAACACAAAATCTGTTCTTGTTTTGGTTCATTTAAGCATTCGTTTCTGGTTCGGCCCTTGTATAAAAATGGTACAGCTAATTTTCCGCTATCTATGGTCATTAAGTTTGTGGTAGAAAAAATTGGCGCTAGTTTTGAAACTGAAAATTTTTCTCTTTTAGAATTTACTCTCGAAACTCTCTTGGCGCCGAAAAGCGATGGAATTACGCTCGTTTTGCGTCTAGAAGAATCACTTCGTTTTTCACTGTTAGGCGAATGCGATTCGTCCCGAGTTCTTTTCGGTATTGCTAATTCAGAAGTCTCGTTGGGTTCGAAATCTTGATCAATTGTTGTGTTTAGCAAGCTTTCATGCTCAGTGTCATTTTCTGTAACCGAAATTTCAAAATAATCATCCGGCGTTTTTTGTAACACAGTGCGCCCTCTAGCAGCCAAATTGAACACTGCTGCTCGTCGGTTCTGCGAAGTTGGTCGTTGCGATTCGTGAATTTTAGAAAAGTCTTTAATGTTTCGGACGTCATCTTTGGAGCTAAGGGAGTTCACACGTTGCAGCGAACTGATTTTTTTCTTGGAATTTAACTGAAACAAAGCATTCTTTTTTATTTCTGAAAATTATGCAAAACGTCTGAATAAGAAATTTGTTACCAGATTAAAAGGTTTTTGGTTTTTTTTCGTCATGCAAATAAACGGACACATCTTAGTGTAGAGCCTACTTTGGATAACTTTAGATTCTTTTTGGTTTCAAAATTTAATTTGTAATCATCTGGCGCGATTGATCTGATTTAAAAAATGAATTTTTTATCCGCGTTAGAAAATTTAGTCATCAAAAAAAATAATTTGCACTACCTGTTCCCTGATCATTCGGGCCTGCCGAAACATTATTCGGCTGCCCCTTTTAGATGCCCCCTTAATTAGCCAAAATAAAGGGGGCACCTAAGTTAAGCGGGACGCCCTCTTTTTAGGGATTCGACCCCCTAGCCACTCAAATAGTCCCCCTTTGGTAAAAACCCTAAGTTGGTGCGCATTCCTCTCACCAAAAATGCGTGGATTAAAATTTTTTATCAAATTAAAAAGTCATGCCTACGCCATCTTTAACGACCATCATAAACTTGTACTTTTCGCTAAAAACTAGACGCCAAAGTTTAATTATTATATATAATTTACATATTTCTCGTTTTGAAGTCACTTGGCTTTTCAAAAAATTTGAATAAGTTAATTACTAAAACACTTGAGAACATAGGTCGTTAAATAGGAGGACCGTTTTTCTCGATTGGTAGTATAATCGATTTGTACGAGGACTTTTTGAGTATGTCTGAAGTATATGGCAAACAATTTTCATGGGCGGTTCATGTTTTTATGGCCATTGTTGGTGGAAACAGTACTGTTGGCGCCTCCCAGTCGAAAGATCGATGGTTTGAGACGCGCAACCATCCAAGCTCGTCGCGCAAGCTTGAAACAATTTACGCTGTCTATAAAACCGAAAAGGGTGGCGTCCGTCATGCTGAAGGGACCGAAAGCTTGAAATTTGTTTTGGCTTATTTTCAGCCATTCAGAATTGAGTATTCAAAAAATCTCAGAGAAATCGCAAAAATCTCAAAGCAAGCAAATAAAACCAGGCCATTAGCGTTAATAGTTTTAGGATACCAATTTATGAAAAATACAAGAATAAAAAACTAAATTTATTATACTTGCTTCTGTTATAACTGCATCTAGTTTATTTATTATATTATCATTTTCTGTTAATTTTGACTTCGATTTTGTGAGAAAGGCCTTTAGCCAATAGGAACGGGTACCAATTTTGATTAGTTTTTTCCAGCATGCGGTCCCTCCAGCATGAGAACCCTCCCCACCGAAAAGTTTTTCAATGCAGGTCTGAATAATGATCACAACATAGAAAAAACTAAATTAATTTGAAAATAAATGTATTTTTAAGACTACTCAGAACACTGTGATACTTGCACAGCAGCCGGGTATCCTTGTTTTTTTCTCTTTTTTTTTCTAATTTCTTTTTGTTTCCACGCAACATCACGTGACCCGAATAATCATCGGAATGGATTGAGTGGTATATCATGTAAAAGCCGTTTCAGTCGTGATTTGAACGTTATTAAGTTTCCAAAAATTTTCCCAAAGTTTCAGTCCAATTTCGAGCGAGTAAAGCGATCGAGTAAAGTTCGTTATACATAATTTTGGCTATTTAGGCTACAAAACCTGATTTATTTAAAAAAAAAAATCATTTTTGGAAATAATAGTAAGCGATTACTCGGCCATAAAAATTTGAATTCAAATTTAAAATTTTAGTGCAAAAAATAAGGAAACATTTTTGAAGATTTTTGTTTGAAAACATTTTTTTTCGTTTTTTTTTGTTTTTTTTTTGTTATTTTTTCGTGAAGAAAGTTGTTGTTTTTTATGCCTAATTCGCTAATTTTTCACGAATTTGTATAGTTCTATAATACCACCACTAGACAAAAAAACGCCGCTAAATTGAGTGTTTAGTGTTTTACGTAGTGTTTTACGAATCTAGTCGGAACATTCTGCGCTACTTGCACGCCAACCGGCTATCCTTGTTTTATTTTGTAAATATTTAATGAAAATACTGAAAGTTATAAACTTAATTAACCTTGGAGCTGAAATGCATTTCCTTTTTTCTCGTTTGTTCTGTCAGCTGCATAAGATTATCCACCACTACATCTCGCTCTTCACTTTCAGTCGAGGCAATAGATGTCCTCTTACGTAATCTGTTCTGTTCACTCGCAACCACTCGCTTCAACTTAGTCGTCAGTATCTCCGTGAACACTTCAGGGTAGAGGGCAATCAGGTCCACAGGGTACCACTTGGATCGCTAAAATAATCACTTTATCGCCTTTAGAATAATTTTAGGGTCGGATAGCTAAAAATGAAGATAGTATCGAAGGGGGACCCTTTGGGTCGGCACGGGGTCGAACCTTCGAGGGTCGAATCCGTTGTGTGACGAGCTCAGGAGTTTTTGAAATTCACGACTGGTGAGGGGCTATGAAAACTTTTTTTTGATAGAGCGAGGGGTGCTTCTGATTTGTCGTTTTAAAGGAAAAAGACGCAGAATGATTCGACCACTGTGAATGGTTATAAATTATTTAACAAACTGAATGATTTTTTCCATTCTTAATTTTTTTCAGGTGAGCTGTGATGCTGATAGATTTCACAACCTAAAATTTAGAGTTAAGTTTCTAAAAAAAAATTTGTCCACTTTTTTTTCAAATTCGATCAAATTGCTTTTCTGATTGCTCCCGGAAACTATAAAGACCCTGTTTCAACGAATTTTCTGCGCTGCTGGCATATAAAAAAAACAGGTCAAAATGCTGCTTTTAATTTTTTTTGGCAAATGTTGACCATAAATTGCATTTTTTTGGCGCGCGTTCCTCTTCAAAATTGTTACCCCCTCCTCCTCACACCCCCAAATCCTCCCCTGTATTTGTCCCTATTTTCTTAGACGATGAAATATTTTTCAACCGCCAACCATGCTGTTTAGGTGATAGTCTAACGGGACAAAAATCCATGTTGCCATCAGATTACCGAACTCCAGGAAGATAAAACGTCTCTCGTCCCATTTTAAGTATGCTCCTGTGCGATAATTCTAGAAGATTTTGCCACCATCAAAAGCTTTTCCTGTTTATTGTTCCGAGTATCGAAAAAACTTCATATTTTAGTTTGACTGAAATTTTTGTAACCATGAAAAATAAATCATTGCACTGCGCTCAAAGTTCAGAAGAAGTTCGTTACGGGAGTTTGTGATAAAAATGCAAGCAAAAGTTCGGTTCCGAGCTTAGTCTTGTCAATACAATACAATTAGTTCTCAGAATTCGCCTGCGTTTTGGAGTGTTCGATGTTGTTGTTCCGACTTTCGAAGAAAACGCAATATCCATGCTTGGGGTTGTTTTTTTTTCAGTAAATTTTCGGCAAACGAAATAATACTTCATAAAAAAAAATTGTCCTATTGAAGATATTGACTAAATAAATTCAAATTTTAAAAAAGTATTCTACCTACAATCATTTTATGCAAAGTTTAAAATTGCCAATTTGTCCATGTTCTGGACTAATTTATGCGCGCTTTGGAGAATTTATTCATCTTGCTGAGAACGTAACTCAAATTATTTAAGCGTGGAAAATTATCCCGCTCAACAAAATTGTTCCAAATTGAATTGAGGCTAGCTCATCGGTCGCACTAGTTTCATACGAATCAAGTCTGCACACTTGATCTTTGATATTGTTCAAAATTTATGAATTTTCAATTTTTTCTTTTTCCAAAGATTTACTCGATATTGATTAAGGGGCAGTCGGAACACTCAGGGCTTTGGCCTGATAAACGAGCTGTCTTATTTTATCTTTATCTGCTCTGCCATAAAGCTCTGTCATGGAATGCAGTCTTTGTACATGCAAAATTGAATAAAAAATCTTAATGAATCTTTTTTTAAATAAAATAAAGCAAAGTAAAAATTGAAGTAAAAGGAGCAGTAATAACATGAAAAAAGTATATGTAATAAAATAAAGCACGTTTTTTTAACTTCGAGATTTTTTTGTTAAATTCATCTCCCATACACGCCATACAAAGTACATATTGATAGATTTCGCTCCTAGTAAAAAATCAATTATGGCAAATAAGCTTTCTTCAACCAATTTGGAACGATTTATAAGACGGATTAAACCTCCGCTTACTCGTTAATGGCGCAAACTAAATGTCCCAAATTAGCCAAAATGGCAATTTTTAATCCCCCATAACTTTAAAAAAAAATGATCACAGGTGAAATAAAATTAAATTTAAGCTCAGTACAACAATATCTTTTGAATCATATAAAAAAGTCGTTAAAAATGGATAGTTAAAATGTCGAATTTTGTCTGAGCAAAAAAAACCACCCCGAGCACAAACGTTCTTTTACTTTCGTTGTGAAAATCGGAACAGTAAAAATCCAAACTATTCAAAGTTTCCTAAATTTTAAAATGATTTTCTTGTAGCCCACAGATATGTGGTTCGGCTTGAAGTCCAGTTCTCTCGCTGTTAGGCAACTATCTTTTGAGCCAAATTAAATCACCGTTAGTCCATTATTATCACAAGATGCTATTATTAAGATGCCATTATTATTATATATCGCGCGGTAATCCTGCCAAATTTGCAAAATCGGCAGTTTTCAAACCTACTTAATTTCAAAAAAAAGCTAAACTTTAAAAGACTTTTAAAAAATTTAGCTCAGGACACTGAATCATCCCAAAGGGAACAAAAAATTTGTCAAAAAAGCCAGTTACAGAAAAAATCAAAGAATGACTGAAGAAAGAAATCTCACCGAGAACAATTTTTCCATCACTTTCTTCGGAACATTAAAGTAAAAAACAGCAAAAAAAAACTTTTTTTAACGATGGTTATCGGCGATGATCACCATGGGCTGCTCTAGAATTTTCTCAAGGGGAATTTGAAAAAATATGAAAAGTTTTCTCGAACTTTTTTTTAGCTCTCCGACATCACCATGAAGGCCCTATCTTGGCCAAACTTTCTGCACCGCAAGTGATTTCTGAAGCCTGACTTTTTTACGCGTTTATTGGAAAATGTTGACCAAAAAATTGCGTTTTTTCGGCGCCCCCCCCCCCTCAAAATTAGTATATTTTAGCGCCAAAGGCGTCTTTAGAAAAGGGGAGCCCCCCTGATGTCCGCGACTGCCTTTAATTATTAACCGGCACAAAAAAATTGGTCTCTGTTGTGTCATAACTTTCAATTTTTGAAATAATTGCAGTGTTATGTTTTCAAATACAGAATTGACCTGAATTTAAAAGCTAAGAACACTTACTACATAATAGCGAGGGTAGTCCGGGTCATCATCGTACAAGAAACCATCCTGGTCCTTTTTCATACGTTTTAGCCCCGATGTCATTTTCAAAATCACAAGATCCACAAAAGTAAAGCTAATAATTAAAGATTAGATAAAAGCCATTTTCTAATCAAAATCTATCTTTGATTAAAAATTAGCTGCCATTGTAACAAGTCTCTTCGAAGATATTAAAAAAATGTGTAGAAAAACAACACATCAGTCTAGTAATTTTCATAATTATTAAGCTGTCTGTGAAAAGAAAAAATTAAGAAAGCTAGAAGGCTGATTAAAAGGCCAGCATCTACAATACAACTGAATGAAAAGTTATTGCTTCTATGGTTTTTCTGTAGCTTTGGATCTGAAAGCTTTGATTTTGCACTTAAACACAATTGAATAACGAAGCGAGTCTCGAAAATTTACCAATATGATAAGTAGTAAACAATACACATTAGAAATTGGTAAAATCGTAAAACCGCATTCATCTGACTTAAAACCAAACTTTTTTGGTAGCTGTTTACGTTTATGCCAACATTTTTCAAAATTAGAGAAATTTAGATAAACACTTCGGTCTTAGTTTCTGTTCCTTGTGAATCATTGCCCTTTTTTTTAGGACACGACAAAATTTTGTATCCATGAAAAATTACATAACAATCTGAAATTTTCAAAAAAATATATAAACAAGGATAGCCGGATACTGTGCAAGTGGAACAGTATGTTCCGACCATAGTCTTTAAAAAGTACTACAAAGTTTTTTCAACTTACTGTGGTTTTTTTTCGGCGCGGTTGGATAAAAGGAACTGAACAAAAGACTGGAGATTAGGTATATTCGACAGTCATAGTGTAATAAGCAAATCGAAAAACCTTTTTTTATTCAAAAGTTGCTGGAAAAATGAAGAAAAAATCAAAAAATTTTTTTTAAAAGTTATGCAGCTTTTTAATTTTTGAAAAATTGATCCCAAAAAGGCGTTAAAATACTTTAAGTAAACTACTAACGTTACTCAAGTAAACCTAGGTTTTTACGTTTTAAATTAAGCTATTGTAAGCTTTAAACGGTTAAAATAAGACTGCTCGTTCGCTTTGTTCGCTCGAGCTCGAAAACAAAGCGAGCGAACAAAAAATTGGACGAGAAAAAGAAGACAAAAAACTCAAAAAAATTCAAACCGGTTTTTCTCGACACTAAAAAAGTTTTAGGAATTTTTGAATGTGGTTTAAATCACGACTGAAAGGGCTGTAATATGATATATCACTCAACCCAGTCCGATGATTATTGGTGGTACCTGATTTTGCATGGAAAACAAAAAGAAAAAAATTTGAAAGTGGAATCCTTCATACGCGAAAGACCACATGTGCGAAAATAAAAATCAGCCAATCAGATTTCATTAATCTAAAACTTGAAAAGTAAGTAAACATTTCCAGGGACTGAATATTGATATTGGGCGAATATAAAAACGGCAGAAATATGCAAAGTTTTCAAATTGACACTGACCATCGCCGAATTGGAACAAACTTTAAATTTCGAGGGTTTCTTTATGAAAAAAGCAAAATATTGCTTCATTTAATTCATTTTAATTGAATAGTTATTGTTTCTTTTTAAGAACTGACTTTCGGCTAATTTTGTTTTCGGTCCATCACCCACGAATTTTTTCGCCTATTCGGCCCTTCGCGCAGTAGAATAGCCCTCAAACTAAAACAGACCCGAATAAAAATTCCTCCCCGTTTTCAATGGTCGGAACAAAAATGTATTTTTTCCTGGTTGCAATTGCCTGTGTTTAAAGGAAGCATAAAAGATTTTCGACGTAACGAGATGAACAGCTAGCTCGTATTTTAGTCGTTTCTTTGCAAATAAATTGTTCTCAAGGCTGATACTTTTTAACAACATGCACTGAGGGTAACTCTACGAATGGTTATCAAACCCAAACTTATCTTGGGGTTGAAGATTTAGTCGGCGAGCATTTTTCAATTTAATGAGAGCAATGCAGATTATAAAAATAAGTTTGTTCAAAATATCAAAATATGTTGAACAACAGTTCTTCAGTTAATTTTTAACGTCTTTTTTGCTCAAAAAGTTACAGTCCATATACACTTCAGAAATGGGTGACGTTTCGTTCACGCATGAACATACACCGTTATGGGCGTTTTTGAAGGCAGAGCAACCTCCAAACTTCGTTAGCAAAGACATCCCATCATAAACTCCGCTCAAACAATCCCTAAACTCTTGTTCACATTTTTCGAACGTCTGTTCACATGATGAGTAACAGATGTCGTGTTTGTTACAACACTCGGTTGCACTGTTTGAAGCCAGAAAGTCTACGATATCGATAGCGACTTCACTCCAACTGCTGGCACCACATCCATTCGATTTCTGTGACCTCTCGCAACCTCTAATGGGAACGCTTTTCAGCCCATCAGCACAAAATCTGCAGTCTTCTAAAAAAAAACAAGCAAGATTTTCTATTTGAACAGACATTAAGTTTCAAAACTTTCTGGTTACTGTTTTTGTTTTAGTTGAAATTTACTGCAAATTCAAAACACCATACAGGTTTAGTCATTAAGGCTGGCTTCAACAAATTAGGTTCAGATCATTTTCAACGCATAACGGAAAGCCGCCGTTGAGCTCCTGGTAAAACATATACAGTATGTTGTTTTTTTCTGAATTTTATTTTTACTGGGTCGAAAAAGGTGCCACGATGCCCCCTGTCAAGTTAGCAGCTAGGATATTGTGGGTCTTAAAATTATGGTTAAAGGGAAAACGATGAAAATGAACTTACCATCTCGCTTAACCTGCTCTTCGATTCCATTTATAGTCTCATTGAATCCCATTGGAAAACTTTTAGAAGATTTTGGGCATAAAATTAGATAAATAGAGGATATAGCGAAGGTGAAAAGAAAAATCGATGGCATATCGCCAACATACTACATTAATTTTGCCTGGCATTTCATTTCAAATTGGAAACTTGTGTTTTATACGCTGGTTCATACATAAGAAAGCGTAAACAAAGGGAATAAACTAGTTTTGAGACTCAACAGTAGAAAAAGTGGTGTTTTATATATAGTTTCATTTTTAGGTCTATTTTTATATTGACCGATATCAACTTACTTGGTCTCGTAAATACAGATGTACACCATTCAAAACACTTCAAAATTATTAACCAAGTAGATGATGAAAATGTAGTTTAGTCAGGAACTATACCATAATTATCTTTATCGAAATAAAAAATTAGCATTTTTGTAATGGAAAAACTAGCAACACGAGTGGAAGACTGCCAATTGCAATAAACCGGGCACTCACTTTGGGTTTTGAATGTATCGATGTAACGGGTATATTTCGACTTTATCGACCAAAAAAATGCGCTCAATTTGAGTCCACCCAAGCTTAAAAAAAAGTATAGACCATGTCGACCGACTTTGTCAGACAAAAGCTTCTGATGGCTGCATTGAAACTCCAAATTCAAAATCTCGCTGTCGACAAAAAATGAATTTTTTTGATATTGTACATAATTAAAACCATGAATTAGTTTTAAGCCCGCTTTTGCTCCTTCATCTCTTCCTACAATATGCTTTTAAGATTTGGTTTCTTCTTTGGATAATTTTTTGCGAGTTTTCATGACAGCTTGAATCATAAAAAATCATAAAATCAATTGATTTCCGACACAAAAAAAAAGTTTACCATATATGACACTTTCATTGAAAAAAACTGCTGCCTAAGTGATCATCATTGAATCTACAGATCCAGTGTCACGTGTCTATGAGCTGAAAAATTTGTTCATAGTTTTATCTACTTAGTTGAGAACAATGTATAACTGCCCTTTTTCTGGAAACACATAATTTTTTAAAAATTATACGCAGGAAAAAACGAGAAAAAAAACCTTCTAAGTAATTCGACCTAAGTATGATTAGGCTGTTGAAAATTGTGTGGGGTTTCAACTTCAAAACGGGCTTCATCTTTTACAAAACTGATTGTTTGAATGGTAATCAGAAAAAAAAATCATGCCAGCATATAAAACTTTATATTGCTAGTCGGCTTTTTTATCCTTATTAAAAGTTGCGAAAAGTGATCTGTTGGACACCAAATGAAAATTTTTTCCAACTAAAGTGCGTTTCAAATAAACTGCTATTTCACCAAAGTTAGTCATTTCATAACTGTTGATCCGTTTGACTTCAAAGTTGAAGAGAATCTGCAAAATTGACAGTTTTAAAATAAACACTACATTGGTTAGATCAGCGTGATAAAAAATACCCGCATTTTTCAAAGTTTTTCACATTTTCAAGCTTAAATCGTTTCACTAAAAAAATTTTCGTACATTTTTGAATACAGCGAACTGGTTTTTACAATGGGAGAAGAAAAATTTGTTATTTGTTTATTTGCAATTTATCAAAGCCCAAATGAAGTCCGAAGGAGGTTCATGCAAGACGGGGCGACATGTCACTGTACGGGGGGTGTTTTAAGGTGGCTAAGAACCAGAATTATAAATCGGCGAAGCCCCAATACCTTGGTCACCCCAGAGACCGGATCTTAACCTCCTCGATTTTCGGTTGGAGGTCACTTGGAGATAATCGTACCTCGTGCTAACCCACAAAGTGTTCAGGAGCTCATTCAAACAGTCGAAGATGCTAGCAGTACGATAACCGTCCAGAATTGTGTGGGTTCATCAAAAAATATTCAGAAAATTTAAAGTCTGTGTAGCGCGAAATGGCGCAAATTTCCAATTAATTTTATAAACAGTTTCAGCAGTTATCAAAAATTTTGTCTGTTGTCTCTCAATTTCAGAAAATTAGTCTATTTACTTTCTCTCAAAAAAATATAGTTTTTTTTCAAAAAAAATAATTAATTTGAAACAACTTGTAGTTTTGCTTTCATATTTACTAAGTATTGCTTGCATTTACTTAAATAACGGCTTCAAATTTACGTGAGTCTATCTAAAGTTGTTTATGATTAGTAGAAACAAAAACAATTCTATGCTGTGAAAATGGTACAAAAACTATCGAACAAGTTTGTATTTAAAGAAGAAAATAATCATAGGTTTAGAAACTTTGTAGCTCGGTTCCTTTTACGCAATCCGAGATACCATACAAAATTTTTAGTTGGCGGGAGGGGGTCTCGAATAAATTTCAAGCTACGATTCGAGTATCTTCTCATTGTTACTTTCTCTATTGTTATTTTCTTTTCATTATCTGCGATTTGATTTGATTTTTGACCGAAGACAGCTCGTAAATCACAGGCGAAGCTCCTGATTTTCGACTGCGGTTTAAGGCGGGTTTAAAAGCTTTTTGATTGAAAAATTTTGATTGAAAAGTTTTTTTCAGTCTTTCTTTAGTTTATAACCGCTTCACGCCAATGTAAACTACACAAGGATGTATTTAGCGTCTTTTATCTCAATATTACGACCAAATGATTTGCCTCAATTCCATTTGAAACGCATTAACCCGCCGCTTGTTATAGGAACGAATTATATCGAGCGTTAATTATCTCAAGTTGGCCAAATTATCAATTTTCAACTCCCCGAATTTTACAAAATTTTTTGAAAAGTGATCTCAAGACATCGGCACATTTCAGATGGCTTGAAAAAAAAAACATCAAAAATGCTTTGTTAAAAAGTCAAAAGATGACAGAACAAAAAAAAACAAGACTCGTAAATATTCTGCACTTTCTTCGAAGTCGGAACAAACAGAAGCTCGGTCCAAAATTTCATTCATCTAAAAACACTCTCTTGCAATTTCTTAAGCAGCCATTTGAAATTGAGCTGCAGAAACTCAGGTTTTAAAACATGTCATAAGAAAAAGTATTTTCTTGATTTCTTTCATTTAATTCATCTTGACTATGATAAAAACAAATATAACCATTAACTATAACTATACAAATTTCGGCAATTTGAGACGCATTGGTGAAATGTGAAGATATCCATATTTTTGCTTCTCTAATAAAATCAAGGCAAAACTAGATCTTTATTTGCAGGTTTTTTATCTTCTCGTGCCATCATTTTTAAAATTGTCTCCGGTTTTCTCCTCTTTACCTGTTCAGTTCAATTCTACGCTAATGACTTAGGCATGATGGATCTCCTTAACCATCATCCTTTTTTCAAAAGGGAGAAATTCGTCAATAAATTCAAATTACATATTTAACCGTTGGATTAGTTCATTATAGGGAAGGCAACCCCTTTCTATATCAAACGGAGGGGGTAAATAAAGAGACCTGGAATGACTGACTTTGAATAAATGACATTTATGACACAAACAGACTATTGGAACAGAACAAATTCCACACAAATCAATCAATGAAGCCTTAAAGAGTCAAGGAAGTGTTAATAAGTTGAAATCATAATAATCCATATTGAGTTGCACCACATTCCTTTATTTAGTTTCCTAGTTACATAGAATAAAACCGGATTATTGAACATCAGATGCTTAACCCATGTTGTATATCACTCTAAATAAGAAGCAATTGCCAGAAAATCACAAACAAAAAATCTGGTTTTTTTTACTTCTGGCTCCTACTCCATCTAATTAAAGCGAATCTCTCAACAAGTCGTCCAAAAAACGAAGCCTTATCCATACAAATTAGTAATCGAATGGCTACGCAACAACAATCTACTATATAATAAAACCTTTGAACCTATTAAAGCCTTCTGCAACAGGGTTGTACTTGTCAAAGAGATCCGATAAAGCTCTTGGTAATTTCATTTAGCTCATTTCATTGAATCATCAGAATCAAAAGGACACGGCGCCTCCACCATGGTATCTGTTGAGTTCACAGGCACACATTGGCATACATTTCCATGTGTTCGTTTGTAGCTGGAACAACCGCCTATTTCTGTGAAGAATGCCAGAATGTGGTACAGTTCCAGAGGCTCCAGACACTCTCTGAACTCGTCTTCACAAGCTTCGAATGATTTCCCACACACCTCGTAGCATCTGTTGGAGGAACAATCAAGCAAACTTATAATTGATTTATGTAGTTAAATATATACATAAATATCTACTTAATCAAAGTTAATTTAAAAGATTAGTTCTTCTTTCTTTCATAGCGAAGTGCTGTTGTACAGTTAAACTCCGAAGTTTTTCTCATTCATTTATATTGACAACAAAATGAGTTTGGCAGTTTGGAAAGGAACTTCGATTTTTTTGTCACTTGAGTTTTTGAAGCGGGCTTTTCGTGTTCAGATAAAAAGATGGATTTTTTAGAATTTGGCACAAAAAAACGTGGGGAATTCAACATATATTTAAGCGTGAAAAAATGGACTTCGCTTTTTCAATAATCGACAAAAAATGTCTGCCACTTATCACTATTTGTCTAGCATAGTATGTAAAAGAGTTTCCCCACCTGTCATGTTCATTACAGCACTCTTCTGCGGCTTCATTGACTAGAGCGTCCAGTATTTTCAGGGCAGTGTCACTCCACGTACTGGCTCCACACCCGTTGGTTGGATTCTGGTTGTAGCAGTCTTTGATTTGTACACTTCTTTCACCTTCTTTGCAAAAGTTGCAATCTTCAGCTGAAAAAGACAAAAATCTTCAGCTGAAAAAAAAAACAATAATATTCAGCTGAAAAAAAAATTAAAATCTTTAGCTGAAAAATGTAAAAATCTGCAGCTGCAAAAAAACTAGAATTCTTCAGCTAAAAAAGATAAAAAATTTTAGCTAAAAAAACAATAATCTTCAGCTGAAAAAGACAAAAATTTCAGCTGAAAAAGACAAAAACTTTCAGCTAAAAAAACCTTCAGCTGAAAAGGGAAAAACTTTAGCTAAAAAACCTCCAGCTGAAAAAAAAAACAAGAATATTTAGCTAAAAAAGACAAAAACCGGCCGAGTTAATGTTAGTTAAGTTTCAAAGGCACCAAGTATGCAAAAAATTATACCAAAACAAGATAAAACTCATGCTAGTGCAAAATAATGCGTTGCAGTGAAATAATTTAATGAGCTCAAATTGGGCAGGTGTCCTTTGACTTTTATTAACTTTTAAAGCTTTTTTGAAATAAAATTGGAGGAGTCTTGCGAGCTGCATATTTGAAATTGGAAGATAATTTGTGAGCAAAGCAAAATGGCATTCTTAGATTACAGCCCCCAAATAACAGAAATATATATATTTTTTCACGTATACTTACATGGAATGAAGCGAGCAATTATGCCTGGATTTTCAAAAAATCTTTGCTTGAATCCGGTTACGACGATTTTTTTTTGAACTGAAAAAATTTAATTTCAAAAAATTCTGATTGCTATCGGCCTATGTAGGAGACGTCTCTCAAAATTTCGAAAGATCTCCTGATGATCTCCCAAATTGATGCTTCATCATAGTATAAATAAATCCATCTTTTATTGTAACATACCGATTTGAAAACAAATTATTATGTTTTTTTTCTGTTTTGTCGGCTAAATTGCCCCATCGAAACTTTTTTGTGCTTTAAGCAATATTCAATGTTGTTGCGGGTATTTTAAATTTTTTTCTGTAATTTAACAATCCGTGACTGAGAAAGTGTTGTTTGAACTGAAAGGAAAAACAAGATTTACGCCCCATTTTTTCAGAAAAACACAAAAAGAGAAAAATTTTAGAACTCCGATACTTAATAGCTCAAAAGTTTTTTTGACAACTTTTATGTTCAGCTCAACGGGAGTTTATCAAAGTTTGCCAAACATCGTTTGAGACAAATTTTGAAACAAAATTGACTGTGAATTCAGCTTTTAATTATAGTCAGACTATATCATTTGTCAATTAGTGATTTCATCCAACTGTATATAAGATTCATAGACAAACGAAAAACGACAGTAAAATGTATAGAAAAGGTTTAAAAAATGACCCCAACCCTCACACTCTTATAACTCCTTTTATGTATTTATATATTATAGGATAGGGACAAAACCATATATCTAAAGTTGTTTTAAAGCACAGTTTCACTAAATGTTCCGATCATAAATAATAAGGAATAACTTTGTCTTTGGGTGTGTTTTAATTCTTTTTTAACGCTCTAATTCGAAACAATTTTCTGTAAAAAATCAAAAAAGTTGTTGAAAACTTTTTCTGATGCGGTATTTTTAAAAATTATTTGTTATTCATTATTCATAGAAAAATTTTGTCGATTATTTCTATTTCATGAAAACTGTACGCGTTTGTTTACTTTTCTCTTAAAAACACACACGAAAAAACAAATATTTGATTTGAAAAAAATATTCATATAACTTGTGATGAAAATGGGCGGAAAATTCTATGCTATTTGCAGAGCAACTAACTGTTATTGTTTAAAATTTGTAAATGATAATAGTTTAAAGGATAGATTCGCTTTCTTAAAATGGCAAAACGTTGCGAAAAACTGTTATTGATTCTCGAAAATGTACTTCGGGAAAGTGATCCACAAGTGGACTTTTTGCAAAAAAACGCGGTTTCTCCGCGGCATGGTAGTACGCTAAACTGTTGCAAACCATGTTGCAGAAAATACTTCAATCATTGCTATTATTGGGAAACTGCAAATTAGCAAAAAAAGAGGGAAAAAACTTAAATAGGTGATTTAGTTACTTCAAGAGAACTGGAGTTTCTTTATCAATCTTGAAAATGACCTTATGACGGTAAGTAAGAATCATTTTGTAGAGGGTTTACCCAACTGCTCAGCTAATAATCCAAATACAAATAAATGCCCCAAAAATCGTTTCCCATTACTACTAAAGTAGGAAGGTTGATAAAAAATCCAAGAAGTAGAATCCTACGGCTAAAATTTACCTGAAACTAATGACGCCCAGACCATCAACACCAATCCCAGTAGAATCCATCGCATTATAAATTAGAAACAACCATCCAAATTGAAATGCCACTCTCAATCTTTTTTGTTAGTTTAGAGCAATAGTGTTATAAAGTAACTAAAACAAGTCGGCCCTTTTAATAGCAATGTTCAATGTGTTTTGAAGACTCTCAACAGGATAATTTTAGTTTTGGAAGCAAATTGAAATATTGTTGAAGGCATTTTTCCAACTGAATGAAAAAGCGCATATGTGACTGACTAAACAATGCAACACTTGCGATTATCAATAAAATTCGATCATTTTAACGCTTCATTGATCTTTCTTTCAATGAAAGAAAAGTCACTGATCTACTTTCCAAAGCTGCCTCTTGGAAGATCAAACTAGAATTTATTGTTCCGAATTTTGAAGAAAGTAGAGAATATATATGCTCGGTGTGGTTTTTTTTATTCAGACCAAATCTCAAAAATATTTCCATCGGAGGATCGCTCCTAGGGTTTTTGTGGTCCCAGAAGGGTCGCGTTCACCACTAGACTATCCTCCCTTACTGATTGCTTAAGAAGTCAGCTACCAATCAATTAGGACTGCTCGTCTTAGGGCGAAGCCCTGAATATTTTGACTGCATTATAATTTCTACGGACTAATTTAAGATAGAAGAAACGATGGAATTAAAAAAAAACTTTCCAGACAATTTTTTTGATGTTTTTTTAAATCATCCACCGACTCGCTATATGAAATAAAAAGTGATGTCTTTTGCATAAAGCAAAGTAATATATAGACGAAATAGCATGCCTCAATCCGTTTTAATCCGTTTCTGAACGATTTATAATACGGTTTAAATCTCCGCTTACGCCTTACCAGCACAAAATACATCGCGCATTAATTATTCCAAATTTGCTACTGGCAATCTTTGAAAAACCGCGCGTTAATTATCAAGTTTGGTCATCTTTAAACCCCCATTTATGAAAAAGTATGGAATAAAGGGAGAAAAAAATTTTAAATCTTGAACTCAGGGTAATTACCTTTCACCAAAGTAAAAATCGAAATTTGTCTAGAAAAAAAACCATCTCGAGCACAAATACTTCATCACCCTCTTCGAAAGTTGAAACAAAAATGTATAGAACATAAGTTGTGAAATTATATAAGAAAAATTTCACAGTCTTTATTTGTTTATCGAAATATTTCGCAGAATGAAAACATTGGATTCTTTCGATAAGCGGGAAAACTGGTCAAATAGGTTTACATTTTATACCACTAACTTTTTCCTTACGCTTAGTGAAAACGATAAAAAAAATATTAACTTACTCAAACTACTGTTTTGGATCATCTTGTGAAAAGTTAGATTCTCTGTTGAAATCATATCAAAAAAAATGTTGAAGATACTTTTTTCACAACTTAGTCTCTGCCACCAACAGTCCCATGGTCGCAAAAGTCAAAAAAAGCATGACATAACGGACGCAGCTATCATTGACTATTTCAAAATTGCTTTGTAAACTGTTCAAGGTCACAGAAAGCTACATTGGTTCTAGCGTCGGGTATAGCCGAAACTGATACTGATATCATCAATTAGAACCATCATCAATATCAACAATTGCTAATTGCTTTTTTGGTCTTCGTTTTTGTATAATTGGTCAATGAATTGTGCAACATCTTCTTAAGCTACAAACACCTCAATCAGCCGAAGATGCAACAAGATTTTCCAATTCTTTTTAGCTTTCAAGTAATTGTGCCCAATTTTGATATACATTTTATGTTCGAAACAACAACTTCATTGCAACACAATTTCATCAACTATTCATTGGTTCTCTGTACAGCAAAAAATTATATGTATTTTTGGATGAAAATTTTTATAATTGTCTAAAAAATACATGAATTCAATCAAGCTCTTGTAATTTTTGTTTCACGCGATTTTAACCGGCCCAACAAAATCGCCATTAGTTTTAACGGAACAAGTTTTGTAATAACTTGAAGTTAAAACTGAGCAACAGCCATATATTTTCCAATAATTTTCCATTTTTGATAGCAAATTCTAGATGGACCGAAGTTTTCAAGAAATTTCTTTGATGGCAGCAGTCAATACGTGTTCAAATTTAACGTTCTGAGTAGTGTACGGACTCCACAATAATAATAACGGAACGATTTTGGTCCCGGTTGCGACAGCAAGACTCTTTTCTTTGATATTTTTGAATCATTTTGCTTTTATGGAATCAAGAAACAAATGGTTAAGAACTGTGCAGATTCAAACTTTAGCTCATTGCTTTGATCTTTTTGCTCAATAATGTGCTTTTTTCTTTCCTTGCCGAGTCTAAGACAAATTTATGCGCCAAAATTTTGTACGTTACATTTTTTTGTGCGCATAACAGGTACCAATTGGCCTCGTACTGGTTTTTTAATCTCCTATTTTGTGTAAAAATTTTCTAATTTCGTTTGATAGTCAAAAATGTTTTTTTTTTGGTTTGCAAGATACCATTTTATCGACTAAAAACAATTTTTATTTGTTTAGCGCAAAGTTGTTGAGATAAACCTTCCTCGAGCTTTGCTATGTAGCATAAAATTTTGGGCTCATGTCTCGATAAATTCACAAGCAGGTCAACGGAGTAACTTTTGATTTAAAAAAAGAGCCAAAAAGGTCAATTTTGAGATGAAATTTTGATTCGAAAGTTTGCTAAAGTAATTGCTTTTTATCAACCCTGAAAAATTTTTATGCACTTTTTTCCTTGTTAGTTTTTGTCGAATGTCAACTCAAGGTCCTCATATAGGTCCGAGTTGACCTACATATAACAAAAACGCTCATCTATCTTTCAATTCCATACAAAGAACTGCTTATCATCCTACTCCATGCATGTGTTTTATGGAAAATTGTATATCAAACAGTTTTTATTAATGAAAACTGTACGACAAGCATTTTTTCAGAAGTCGTTCCGAAAAATTGATTTTTTTAAAAAGTAAGCTTAAGTGAGTTTATATCGGGTTTCAATTGAATAAACACATATTGATCATCAAAATTTTAGTTAAAAAATTCTTATCTTACAATTTCTATTTATGAAAATTGTATAAAAAACATTTTTTGCATACCAAAAATCCAAAACTGATGAAAAGACTTTTAGTTTTCATTTTGGTTGCTAAACAAATTTTAAGAACAAAAAAATTCTAAAAAAAAATTCTAAAAATTTTTTTGCATTCATATTTTTCAAACTACTGCTTATGACGAAGTCCAAACACAGTCGTTTAACAAAAAAGAATCAAGGTTAACATTGAAAGTTCTCAGTGATGGCAGAATTTTTACTTTTCAGTACTTTTCAGCCAAATAATTTAAATTAGAAGAATCAAAATTTATATGCTCAAGTCGTCAGACTAATTCCTATTGTTTGTTTAAGTGACAATTTAAACCAAAATTTTATGTTGTCTAACTAAAAAGTAATATTTTTAAAAGGCTCTTTTTCCTTTTTTCCCTCCTCAGACGAGCATTAACTTTATGGTATCAAGAGAAGTATTACAAGGTTTAATATCAAGCTGAAATATGTTTGCCATGACGTAATCAATTCGCATGCCAATTTTTATAACAATCGGAAATCGGACAATCTGAATAAAAAAATTATTTGAAAACTTTGCAGGTGGGGGGGGGAGGAAAAAAATAATTTTAAAATAAGCAGAAATAAACTAATTGATCCAAATAAGGCTAGAATACAAAATATTGGTTCAACTAATTTGGCTAAAAAGTAGTCAAAGTGAATTCTTTTATGTTAAGAAATTGCGAGATGATTGTATCTAACGAGACTAAACGGCGTTAATTAAACTATCAATCAAGTTTCTTTATAGTTTTTGAACAACAAACAAGAGTTTTTTCCAAAATTTTGGACTATTAAAAGGTCGCTCCTCTATCTAACTGAAATGTAGGATTGTATGGTTGATCCCAAAAATTTTATCAAAATAGCGACCAAGTTAACATCCTCCCCCCAAAGTGGTTTAAGGTGAGGATGATAACTAGGTTCTAAGCTGGAAATTTTCAGCCAATCATAACGGAGCATTTTACATGCAAGTCAATTTAATGTGAATTTAATAATGAAGTCGAAGATCCTAACTTGGCCTATCTCGGGGGAAGATGTTAACTTGATCCCAAAATATCCTCAGACCTGTTGAAAAGCTGCGAATTTCCAAGTCTTTGCTTAGAGTTGTTAAGTCTATGATTGAGAAATGTGGCACGTTTCGCCCCGCATGCGTTTAGCCCCTCGTAGTTTCACAAATTTCGTCCTCACCCGTTCCGCCTCTAAATTTTTGCATGTTTCGCCAGATTTTTACACATCCACAAATATTTGTTCGCTTTAAAATTAATTAATTGCCGCTTTCTAAGTTAACGATTTGAGGGGCAAAGGCGAAATGGGTGCGAGTGAAAAGTGCATGGGGGCGAAACATGCCAATAATTTCAGGGGCGAAAAGTGTGAATATAATAATTGAGCCTAAACACAATAACTACATCGCAGTTTACTGGTTTGACTAGTAAAACTACAATTTTTACTTAAGATGTAAATTATATTTCTTTATTTGTTGCTAAAAAACTCAAATAGTTCATTCAATCAATGATAAATCAAACTTTTCTCCACTATTTCCGAAACAACATAGTGAAATGCATGCATCAAAATTTATCATTTTAGTTATAGTAATTATAGCAAATCCCTGATAGTAAGCACCGTGTATCCAGAAATTAAAGGAACAATTCTGGTGAAACGCCGGTGACTCATCGTAGAGCTCCCGATTATTGGAGCAATGTCAAGTTGACTTAATTTTTCACGCGTTCCGTAAGATGGCCGGCGCAACTGTCCTTTGTCTGTAGTTGTATTACCTGCATCTGTCGTCGTATTAGTTGTAGCTTCGTCTTCGGATCTCTCAATTGTGGATCTCAAAACAGACGAAGTACTACTTGTTGTTGCAGAAGTCGAAGCAGACGAAGTACTACTTGTAGTCGTGGAAGTCGAAGTAGACGAAGTACTAGCTGTAGTTGTCGTTAGGTAACCACACCTGAAAAACGAGCTTTTTTTCTTCCTTTCCCCTTCAAACCGCAATTTGAGATACCATAAGCAGTTCGGGTTCTTGTAATTTCTCATGCTGAACACATTTCAATTGTGATTCACATTTTTTTCTGGAATCACTTCAAAAATTCGCTCGTTCTTAAAATTGCCTGAAAACTATTTTTTTTTCATATTTGTTGCACCAGCGATTTTGGGGGAGGGGGGCGGACGCCTTTT